CCTCTCCTCTCCTCTCCTCTCCTCTGCGTAGTAATCAATAAAGAGAGCAGCGCGCACGGCCGAGGGAGAGGGGCACAGCAGCGGCCACGGGCTGCAGTCACAAATAATAAACATGATCGTAACTTTGCTGATGATTAAAATTTATTATTTGATGTTGATCAGTGAAAATAATATTTAACTTAAAGCGAAACCGCATTTGTTTTTCAATGAGCTTGAACAATGATCGCTCACAGTAACTTTCTCTATGTCGTCATCGGCAGAGCGTCTTTGATGCCTGTTTATAACTGGGTTAATAATTAATCTTAGGGATAAATTATGCCTAATTTTTCACAGTAAAAAATTTCACTGTAAGTTAAAAATGTCCCTGCTAGCTGGTACGAGACGTGGTTGAAGCAAATTTCAGATCCTGTAGTGAATATTAGAATAATATCTAGATTCTGTAAAATATTTAGGCAAAACACTTCATCACCGTGATTCTGTCTCATTATAATGATAGTGTTCGAATGTCTCATATAATGTCATTTATATGTATGTTATTTATATATAATGTTAATGTTATGTTATGTGTTATAATGTTAATGTAATGTAAATAATGTTATTTATATATAAGCCTGTTTAGAGTTTCCCCAGCTGTGGCCTCAATGGAAACGTGCAAATTTTTTTACATAATTTAAAATTTTTACATAATTCATTTTTTCTAATAAAATTTTTTCAAGTAACCTGGAAACGAAGGTTATAGTAAATTTTTACAAAATATTCTATCATGTCTTATTCGTATAATTGGTTGTCTTCTTAACTGTACATTTCGGGCCGTGAGCTGTCTTTGCGTGCAAATGTTTACTTCTAGCTCCAACTGAACGATATTCCTATATAATATATAATATATTGAATATATATGTGAATTATATATAATATAATTCATATTCTATTGCTATATTAACTATTGCTATATTAACTATTGCTGTTCTGACTATTGCTCTATTGCTGTTTCAATATTAACTATTGCTATATTAACTATTGTTGTTCTGACTATTGCTCTATTTCTGTTTCAATATTAACTATTGCTATATTAACTATTGCTGTTCTGTAGCGCTGCATATATACGAGTGTTTGGCAGCTGTAGAATAAATTGCAACATAGTGTGCAATATTATAGTATTATTTGGTATCTTATGCTAGGATTATAACCGTGTTCAATATTCATATTATAAAAAATTTAATATTGTAAGTAATGTTACATTTTACTTGTGTGATATTCCATGGAGAAACGATTATCGAATTAACTGAAAAAAAAGATTATTTTCTATACTTTTCTTACGAGCAATTTTCTTTATAAACTAATAATCACAATAATTTATGAAAAAAAAGCGGGCGAAACACAATTTTCCAGCTCTCCACTGAAGTTTCATACACGTTTATTCGTGAACGATTCTCATTCGTTCAAAGCATTTATTCTATATTTGGTAAATTTCCTTTGAAGCGCCAATAGTTTAAAAGCGAAGTTCGCAGCTTAATTTTCGTCCCAACGAACATACGAGACTTGCCCCGTCTCTCCATCATTGCATTTTAACCTTATCATTAACCTTAATCATCATTAACCTTAATTTACTCTTTGTCAGACACAATAGTAGTCTGCCCAGTTCCTCTTTCCTTGCCGCATGCAGTATGCACCCGAGTTTTTTCCAATTATTTTATTCCTATGAAGCGTTTATTTTAGTAATTTTGTACTAAATACGCTTTAAATAATGTGAAAATGTATTTTAAAAGTGCAAGAATTGAGCTTGAAATAGCATATTTTCGGAGATGATGATGAGGTTGTAAGATGCGTGTTCCTACGAATTACCAATGATAAAGTGAACTTCTCATTGGGATCTCAAAGTTAATTTTGTTTGACCAGCCGATTGGTGCTGGTAAAAAATCTCATCTAATGGAACCATCGATTAATTCAAATCATCTTCCTTGTTAATTTAACATTATTTCAGTGGCTGCTACTTAAATGCTAGTAGTCAATACCGTATACTTTCATTCACTTTTTTAATCAAGTCCTTTCATAATAATGAAAGTCGGACATTTCCACTCGTGACTAAATGTTCTCTTCCTGCAATAGTTTAACCTACAACTATTACTTTCATAGAGGTGACATTAGTGTTCTCTGATCACCAGTAGCGACTCTCATCAAAGTTGTGACCTGCTATGTCGAGCTCTTGTATAGACGATAGGGGCCATACGTTCAAAACTCGCTAAGTGAACGTAAGTACTTACGCTCTATTTTCTTATCTAGGATTGGTGAATTTTGCTTGAAAGGACGTCAATGATTGGCGGATGAACTTACGTTCTCTTAACTTTTTCTGAAAGTATAGGCCTAAGTCATCAACACGTCCAAGTATAGTGACGAAAACTGTTAGAAATGCCGCACTGACCACGTGATGACCTGGGCCTATACTTTCAAAAAAAAAAAAAGTTAAGAGATCGGAAGTTCATCAGCCAATCATTGACGGCCTTTAAGCAAAATCCACCAATCATAGACAAGAAATTAGAGCGTAAGTACTTACGAACACTTAGCGAGTTTTGAAAGTATGGCCCCTTGTCCCTAAAAAGACGTGACCATCGAGTGAATGAGCAGCTTAAAAACGCGACTGTAAATTTATTTCACACAAGCGGCACTCGTTTGCAAGTTCCATTATTCGTTCAATTAAACCAAGACAATGCAACCTAAAGTGAAAACTGTACCTGCATGGCCAATATCCAACTGAAAAATGTGAAAAAGTGACATATTATTTTATGGATGCAGATTATACGTCTTAAATATATTGCTCACTTTTTGTTGTACAAGGGAGTTGAATGATTTTTTATGAAGAACGAGTTTGAGATGGCCTGGTAGTAGCTGAAAATGCGATTTACAGCTTAGGCATAGGCCTATAATCTCTGATGGGCTGCATTGTCATGGCAATTGAGAGACAACTAGGGTAGAATTGGTCTACTGAGCTCTGTTGGTGGTCGCTGCGTATTGGGCTTATTGTATTATATTTATTTGTAATGTAATTATAGAAATTATTTAGTGGCGGGACTCAATGTACGATGGCTATCTATATTGCATTATTAACTTTCTTGATACCACATGGCCGCGCTTCTGCTTTACGAATGTCCGGTGATGGCGAAGAATATTCTGATAAATTGTGTGCACTGATATTTTCTGTAATTAAAATAACCCTCCCATTCGTGGCTGCCACTCCTAGCTGCAGGTACACATTGTGCTGAAAACTCATCTAATTCTAAGTCATTAGATTTCTGTCTTTTTAGTAACTGCAGGAGCGATTGTGGAGGTTTAATGGCAACAGCCTATCACTTATTTAACAAAACTTAGCAATGTTACTTTGTTATAAATAATAATTTTCTTCATTATGATTGTCGCAGGGGCGTTGTGGTGACAACCTACCCCCTTCGGCTGGTGGACATCAACCAATGTGATGCTGCGGAGGAGCTGGGGAGCTTACCCCCCTTCACAGGCACCCACACTTGCCCCTCCACCACCCAGGTGACATGTAGCTCTTAGCTGCTGTTCCCTTTACTCTTTTGAAAGAACTTCCTTACTGGCGGGAAATTTAAAGTTTGAGGTTCCATACTCCTTTGAAAGAAATTCCTTACTGGCGGGAAATTTGAAGTTTGAGGTTCCTCATCCACGTTGAGTTCATGTGAGTCTCTAATAATTTTGATGTTCCTTGTCTGCGAAATAATAGAATATCATGTAGAAAGTTTGTGCAATCTTTGGAACCATGTTAATGAGATCCTGGGCCATACTCTCAAAACTGAAAGTCGTACATTTTCACTCGTGACTAAATGTTCTCTTCTTGCGATAGCGTAACCTACAACTATCGCTCTCGTTATGGTGACATAAGTGTTCTCTGATCACCAGTAGCAACTCTCATCAAAGTTGTGACCTGCTATGTCGAGCTCTTGTAGACGAGGGTCCATACTTTAAAAACTCGCTAAGTGAACGTAAGTACTTACGCTCTATTTTCTTGTCTATGATTGGTGGATTTTGCTTGAAAGGCCGTCAATGATTGGCTGATGAACTTACGATCTCTTAACTTTTTTTGAAAGTATAGTGAACGTAAGTACTTACGCTTTATTTTCTTGTCTATGATTGGTGGATTTTGCTTGAAAGGCCGTCAATGATTGGCTGATGAACTTACGATCTCTTAACTTTTTTTGAAAGTATGTTCCCCGGTTATTCATCGCGTTCGCATTACGTTCAACAAGGTATTCGCAACTTACCGTTTATATGTCTCGGCTCAATTTTAAGCGTTTAAACGATAACTTTTATTTCCGCTGATGTAAGTTATAGGCAGCGCTGTAATTTTTCTGGAATTCAAAATTTAGAATTACTCTCTAACGAAATTTTTTCATCAGCCAGAAAGTCACGCAATCCAAATAGAATCCGTTTGAAGCTTTCAGTGCTAATATGATTGTCGTAGTAGGGGAAAAATTCTATTGATAGTATAAGTTTAATCTATTTTATATTTAATATTGTCTCGCTGATCTTTTGAGTGACATGTGAGCACGGATAATTGAACAATGCCGATAAATCTAAAAAAATTAGATTATTATAAAAATTAGTTGTTTTATAAAATTTTAGGTAAAAATTAGGTTTAGCAATAAAATGCTTGAACCACACGAGCTCATTGCAGTAAAATTGAAATGGAAATCCTCTATATTTTTGTGAGAGTAAATTCCCCTGCACAGACTCCAGTAGAATTCTTCGCTGCAGCACTTCAAACAACAGAAGTGGCGCGTCTTCTATTAGTTTGGACGCTAAACTCTGATTAAAACTTGGCGAAAGTTTCAATAGCTGAGATGACTTGCAACAGGAATATCTCATTTCTGATGGCTGGACAGCTATGTTCGATGATGTTCCTGTATGTGACGACAACTTTGGTGCAAGTTATGATAAATTTTGTTCTAAGAAGTTTGTGAAGGTGAGAAGCCTAAGGTGATAGTTGATGAAACTTTACCTCCGTAGTCCGTATGTTATGTTTTGCAAGTTGGAGTCGAACTGTGCAAGTTCATATAAAATGCAAAATGATCAATTTCTCCGTGGTACTATTGATATGTATATCTATTACGCTCAAGATATATAGTGGTACATTAATAATAGTCTGTACAACACCATATTACGTATTTAAGACTATTTTACGACAGGAGAAGGGCAATGCATATTGTGTTACTATTGACTATTAGATCGATGTTGCTATATATATGCTGCACTGCCATTCCGTACGAATAAGGAACGAGATGAATGTTTTTGATGCAATGACTTTATTAATGAGGATGATGCCTCGGTTGGTATTATAAATGAATAGTAATGGAGGAGCAACGAACTTACCGACATAAAGTTTCATTCATGTCCGTAATTGTGATAGAGTGTGCCGTTCAAACACCGTCAAATCCTAGCCTCAGGGGTACACGTATATATGACAGTCCTTGCTTTGGTCTCTTGCTGCCTCCTTCCGCAGATCAGGGGCAATACTTTCAAAATTCGCTAAGTGAACGTAAGTACTTACGCTCTATTTTCTTGTCTATGATTGGTGGATTTTGCTTGAAAGACCGTCAATGATTGGCTGATGAACTTACGATCTCTCAACTTTTTTTGAAAGTATGGGCCCAGATATCGTATCGAGGCACGTATGATACGATACGATATTTGATCATATCGAATGATCGCTATACGAAGCCTGATATCGATCAGGCTTCGTATCGTGGCTGGTCGGACATTACATTATACGCAATTTTTCCCAAAAACTCTAATTAATCAGATATTGATTCCGGTGCCAAGGCTCTCATCTCAGTTCAATTCTGCATCACAATGAAATTGTAATGATAGTGGCAATCATAGTTAAGTAGGTAGATCGAATTATGTTTTAAAACATCATTCCTTAAAAAAGTCTCTCCTGAGGAATGAAGTTTTCATCTAAAATTGAGATTCTTTCGAATTGAGTCATTTTGAATGAATGAATACATTTATATTCAACTTATAATCGAAGATGGAATGAACAAATCCATTTAATTTTTTATTTAATCTTAGGTCTCTTCAAGGGATTTGCCATTCTGGAAATATGGGTCGATATACTCACCTTTGACAAATTTATTTGATTTAAATAACATTCTGATGCGGACACTTTACGCTCCAGTTTGGCATAATTTAGCCAAAATGTCTACACGAGTAAAATAAAATATTCTAAGCATATGTACTTTTTAATTTTTTAATAGACAAAAAATTAAATTAAAAATTAATTAAATTAATCAATTAAAAAAATATGTTTTTTATTGACGACTTCAAATGGATCCTAACCCAAGTCCAGGGCCTATACTTTCAAAATTCGCTAAGTGAACGTAAGTATTTACGCTCTATTTTCTTGTCTATGATTGGTGGATTTTGCCTGAAAGACCGTCAATGATTGGCTGATGAACTTACGATCTCTTAACTTTTTTTGAAAGTATGGGCCCAGGCTCACTGACCGGGCAGCGCGCCTGGCTGTCTCGTGGCTGGCGATCAATGCTGTCCGTATATACGTGTGATATTTCCCGGCTATTCTGACCGAGACCGGTCCGGCGACCAGAATAGCTTCTATGATTCGGCTAATTAAGTCAGGTCATTTATCAGGCTTTGCTGAAGAACGACGGTCTCGTCCTGACGCTGATTACTCCACAAACACGAGTGATGAGCACAGTTTGTTGCTCCTAAATGTTAGGATCGTTTGTTGCTATGCTTGTTGTGCGTGATGATCACAGTTTGTTGCCCCTAAATGTTAAAATCGTTTGTTGCTATGCTTGTTATGCGTGATGATCACAGTTTGTTGCTCCTACATGTTAGGATTGTTTGTTGCTATGCTTGTTGTGCGTGATGATCACAGTTTGTTGCCCCTAAATGTTAAAATCGTTTGTTGCTATGCTTTTTGTGCGTGATGCATCATGTGTTAGTGTACATATATAGTGTCATGTGTTGTGCACTGTTCGAAATTATAACGAGAAAACGGTCTGACAGCCGTTCTAATGGCTGACCGGCCTATTAAAATATACCGTTTTGACCGTTTTTTTACAAATGCAGTACAGGCTTATGGTGTTAAATTAAAAAAAACGCAACACGGCGTTTTTTCACGTGATGGCTGGGCAAAAAAAATGTCCTTACGACTTTTACAACTACTTTTCGAAGAGAGTGCGTGCGGTGTCTATGCGGCTTCAGGTGTTATTGTACACATTAATGTCATGTGTTGTGCGTGCTATATTTGTTTATGTCATTACATATTAATGTATTGTGCGTCGTCACCAAACTGCATACGAAATAGCTTGGATATTTTGAAATTTCAGACAAGTGGTGTGAAATTGAATGGTGTGGTTAAGTCTTTAAATGCTGCAGGAGTTCAACAAGGCAAGTTCAGTAGGTTCTGCGGAGGATTGAAACGTTTGGGCTTGAGCTGCCTTATAGGACTCACTACTCAACTGTTAGCTTATCATTTATAGATGTGTGTTGTGTGCACTACCATACACGTGTGTTGGTAGTTATCATGCAGCACATGTGTGCCTAGTTCGTTACCATACATTAGGTTTGCTATTCAAGTTTTATCCATGAACAATGCGATATTTGTTAATATTTTTAAGACATTCGTATTCGGTTGTTCATGGAGACGGTCAATGTACGTAAATATGTAAATGAAATAGTTGCTGCATAAAGGTTTTACCGCCCATTGGCCTCAGTAATCCAGAGTCCATATATAGGCGTTCTCTCCTTAATTTTGTCTTCAATTGCGCTATGAGGTCATGACCGGAGGACTTCTCTCATATTATAGAAACAGAATCCAACTAATTAACCATTATATAACCTTACCGTTGACTCCTATGGTGGACAGTGTGAGACGGTGGTCAGTCTTCTCCTCCAATATTACAGCAATAGAATACATTTAAATAACCATTATATAACCATGTTGTTGACTCTTATGGCTCACAGTGTGAGGCGGTGGTCAGTCTTCTCCTACAATATTACAGCAATAGAATACATTTAAATAACTATTTTCAATAAGAATAACCATACTGTTGACTCTTATGGTGGACAGTGTGAGACGGTGGCCAGTCTTCTCCTACAATATTACAGCAATAGAATACATTTAAATAACCATTTTAAATAAGAATAACCATTCCTACATTATTACAGCAATAGAATACATTTAAATAACCATTATATAACAATACTGTTGACTTATGGCTGACAGTGCGAGGCGGTCTCAGGACTAGGGTTCGTACGTGGGGGCTACACATGCGTGTGTCGCCAGGGCTACTACAGGCCAAACAGCACACGTGTCGCCTCGCCCCCCCACCACGCTCACGACAGGTGCGTGCCACGCTCACGACAGGTGCGTACCACGCTCACGACAGGTGCGTACCACGCTCACGACAGGTGCGTACCACGCTCACGACAGGTGCGTACTAACGCATTTCAGGCTCTTGAATATTATTTACTGTTATTGTATCTCGTTGAATTCTGTATTTCTTTTATGCTTGAATATTTCAACATGTGTGGATTTATACACAAGTTTAATGATTTCGTCCAGTGATTATTGATCGATACCTGTTTGTTTATTTCGTGTTCAATTGGTCATCTTCACCTCTTTGTTTACACTAGTTCGAATTGTTCGACTGTTTTGAATGGCAAAAAAAAAGATAAATTTGATGAACTTTTACTGAGAGCATAATTAGGTATTGTTTTAAGTAAGTATCTTGAAAATATGGAGCCCAACAGTGAGAGAGAAGTTAAAGTGGAGTGGAGTTTGGTGTTAAAACTGAAAGACTCTCTCTGGAAAAGAGTACAAAAATAGCTTAGCCAAATATGCTCTGATCCTAAAGCTTTCTAGTAGTGTTCGCAACATGCACTGCTAATGTACTGTTATAAATGAGTAATTTTTCTGTTTTTTTGACGATTGATAGTCTCGTTGTGAAAACTTAACAATCTACTATCTTATAGTTTGCATCCGTTTTTTTCAGGATTTCCTTCGTAATCTTCTCATAGTTTTCATGACCTTATTCAGTCATGGAAATCATATTTATACGATAAAATAACATTTGATTACCATTTCAATTCATTGTCGCCGAGCTTGTTCACGACTCTGGGAACAGATATACTTGAATGTTTGTGGCGATCTCCGTAGATTTTTCCTTGAAGAGTATGTATAAACATCAATACATTGTATAATGCACAGTGTACACTCAATGACTCTAGTAATTCAGCTTACTACATGTACAAAATAATTCTCTCGGGCTTCATAAGGCTGTTGTGTCTTGATGCTTTCAGTGTACGTTGCGGTAGGTCATCATTTGTTTCATACATGAATCGATTTTAATTCCAACTGATTGCCTGTATTGCTCTAAAATGATTACATCAGCATCAAACTGATGAAAATCATCACTTTTGTTAAAATAGAATCTAAAATTTTTTTTTATTTTTCCAGAATATTTCAGGTTTTATTCTAATAAATAATTGTTGAAAACTCCGTTCCCAGGAAAAACTTCTCACCGCGTTTGTGTCAAATTTCATAAAAAAAATTTAGTTTCTTAAAAAGTAGCAAAATTTTTTGCTCTCATATATTTATAGTTAGGTATTTAATCTGTTATATATTGATAAGTTTGTGTGTTTGAAGCCTGGCTATGGAAAAATGAAGAGGGCGCGTGACAACGAGACTTACCATGCATCATTTTTTATTTTTAATTATGACATCGAATTATGAGATTAGCAAAATTCACATTTCATTAGAATGTCAACCTCGTAGTGAATTGGGAATTGGAGTTCCGTACTAAATGTGAGGTGAAAGAAGGCTTTTAACCTGTGGACAGGGTTCGGTATATGACAGAGGTCTGGATACCGGGATTCAAAATGATTGGATTTGGACTGACGAGATGCTGGTTAATGGATTCCGGGTAAATGAGATTAGGAACTACGGCAACTGAATGCTGAGTCGCGAACAAATGTCTGAATAAGTTCGGAAAATTTTCAGGTAAATCTCGGAAAAATTTATCGGGCAAAATTACTGCAAATTTTGAGACTCGCCAAAATATGCTTAGCCGTGAAAATTTTATGTGCCTTGCAGGATGTGATAAATTCAGGCAATTTAACACTACCGACGACCCCTGCTAATCTTAATGTGCGTTGAATGAAGTGATTAATACAAATTTTTAAAAATTTATATAACATAAGATAGAAATAATTTTATTATTGGTCCAAAAATCGCTGTTAAATTCACACTTGGGAATTTCTGGTGGAACGTTGATGGTACACATACTGTACAATTTTCTTTAGTTACTCGAAGGTATATGGAGTTTCAAACTCTTCTTTCTAAAGAAAACTTCAACCAATTAGGTACCTTAATTGAAGTAAGTCGTGAACAGCACCAACGGTCGACTGAAGCCGTCATTATCAGAGGTTCCAATGTTATTTCGTCTCTATAATGTAGCAGAGGGAGAGCGACTAATTCAGTGAGATGAGGGAGCCAAATCATACATGCAGTGTCGTAATAATCTATTTGAAACTTTTTTATAGATGTTTACCTACAGAAAAATAATTCATTTTATGGCTGCCTTGATCTATAAAAGCCTATATATAGCAGGTCATCATTCCTGCCGCATTGTTACGCCTAATATGAAATAAAGTATTCGACGGTACACTTGTCACTCAAAATACATCGTATTTCTTTGTTCCATTCGTATTAATAGCAATAGCTGTGTCAGCGGTGATTAGGCTATTAGACCTGTCGCCCAATAATTGACTAGCTGTATTCCACTGCCATGAATATTTGTTTTAAGGCTTCGTTCACACCACACTGCCGGGCATATGCCAGTCACGGTCCGTTCCCTGCAGGTGCATCACATGTTCAGTTCAGTCACGGTCCGTTCCCTGCCAGGTGCATTCACATGTTGAGTTCAGTCACGGTCCGTTCCCTGCCAGGTGCATTCACATGTTCAGTTCAGTCACGGTCCGTTCCCTGCCAGGTGCATTCACATGTTCAGTTCAGTCACGNCCCGAAAAACCCTTAATCTATGGTTTTCAAACCATGGGTTTGGCTTTAAAACACCGAAAAACCCTTATTCTATGTTTTTAAAACCATGGGTTTGGCTTTAAAACCCCAAAAAATCCTTATTCTATACAAGTCTTTCTTACTGAACTCATTTTGTTCGCTACTCTTGCTTCGGATCCTATATTCTCTTAATAGCAGGTTATGGGATAGTGATAAATTTTGTATGAGACATTTACTGATTTTCTATACGATCGAACCAATGCTCCTTTTCTATGCTCCTTATCGAACCCGGTGGAAGTCTAGTAGCTTCTTCAAACTATCGTCAGTCATGAAAATATCCGGTCAAATGACACGAGTTTAGATCTATGAACAAGGCACGAAAAGGAAAAGAATCGACGACAGGCCACATCAGGCCTACACTTCAGCGCCGACATCATTATGTTATGTTATGTTATGTTATGTTATGATATGATAAGAACTCACGTCTTGTTCTCTTTGCTCAGGTGATCGCTTCCTCTATGTGGTCCATGCTGCTCACGATGATGCTCGGTGCTTGCCTCATATACTGCACAGTGAGTCTCCTGCTACATATTCTTTTAGGAAAATAACTGAATTTCAAATAAGTTGCAAAATTATAGGGCCGAATAAATTAATAATACATATTTTTTAATTTATTCTTATTATGTGTCTCAACTTCGATATCATCAATTTCAATATCATTTATTTAATTTATCTTGAAGCGAAAATAATTATCCTCGTATCAGTTAGATACACTGAACAGGCCTAATAAGGCCAGCTGCTATAGTCCATTAAATAGCTGGGATCGAGAGAAATAAATTGATGATTCTCTTAATTTTGAATGTTGTACATGTATGTGAGCTACGTTCATTAACGATGTCTGCAGACACATCGATGCTTCGGCTTCCGATGGATCATAACATAATATACATGTATGTACACAAGTGGTTCTCCAACGATGGTCGAAAACTTAAGAGGCTGAGGTTTTCAATAAAAGACGAAGATAGGAACAACTTCTATAGGATAAATAAAACTTCTCAATAAGAAGATATAGGGATGCGTCTTAACTCGACCGTTTTGCACGCCAATCGTCTCGATAAAAATAGTTACAAAAAAAACTCGGCAGTGTTGATGTTGCTGGCATATCCGGTGAAACGCTCCCCCATAACGGTGCCGCCGCGTCTCACTAAAGCGCAATTATCAGCAAATCTCCAGACAAATGGAACTTGGGTTCTTAATCTGCGTTCAAATTAAATTAGAACTCTTTATCCGCGCTCCGAGGGAAGTTTTCAGAATAATTTGGGGGCTAGAGACGCCGTGACAATGAAGAACGTTATGGGTTAAGTAAATAAATTTCTACTTTACGCACTTCCTAAACGCTCGAAAACTTGCAACATGTCTTTCAGAATTCCTCGGAAAAAACTCGCATTGCTACATGGAAATTTCCCGGAAAATATAATATTGTAACCCAAGTGTCACAATGCAAATATTTGAAAAAAATTTCAAAGACTCATAATTTTGCTGCCATGATGGGAGACTGAGGCAGTCTCCCCCACTACTCCACCTCCGCTAGCCCCCCGCCTCTGGTGCGGGCCTTTGTTCTCGCTCCGGCTTCTCTTTGTCTCCGCGATTGAGGCTCCATTACGACCAGGGTGTCGGCCACCATTAGAATCTGATTGCCGGGCGCCAGCTTCATTTATACGCGGGCAACTGTTGGTACACCATACCTGTGTTCTCAAGCTGTACAGGTGTGTTCTCAAGCTGTACAGGTGTGTTCTCAAGCTGTACAGGTTTCATTTCTTGAAGGAGCAACCATGTTGCTCCTTCATTTTTCTTCAACGTCTTTCTCCCTAAGCTATTAATTAGATATAGTTTAAAATTTATTTTTGTAAGTTTCTATTTATATTGTTCCCTACGACCGTGCCCAGTAATGTTATTTGATCGTGGGATACCATTAAATGTGATACCATTATTCCAAAAGAAATGTTAGTTAATTAGCAAAAATTACGATGATTAGCAAATTTTTAGGAGTTACATATATCCATAAGAAAATTACTCGTTGAGATCCCCAATCTTCTTTCATATGGCCGTTTCTATCTTGCAATGCGTTTCGTGCAATAAAATCTTTGTGCATTTCGACCAGACATATCAGTTAGGAATAATCCTCGCAGAACTGCTGTCGGTTAAGTAAACTTACTAGTTTTACCCTCTATAAAATCTTATCTTAAAATTCCCATTTATTGGAGCTTCGGCTACTGTTATTTCGTCTTAATTCGTATGCAATTGCGATACAGAACTCAATTTCAATCAAGTTCATATCGACTTATACCGATATCGCAAAAAACTTCTTGTCAGTATGTTGATCATTGTAAAAAATTGAATAAATTATGATTAAAATCATTGTAAACGATCAAATGAATCATTAAACTACATTGTTTCATTTATACACTTCATAGTTTGTATAATTTCAAGCCTGCACGATTGCTTGAAAATTCAAGTCTTGCAATTTCTCTTAAAAACTTAAAAATCGGCATGAAACGCACTAATTCCACAGTTCCCTCTTCACTTCACTACTTCTTACTTCAATTTTTCGTATTCTTATCGAGTAATTAAGTTAATGAGAGAGCTTATGTTGTGTGACCAGTTATATCACTTCGGCTTTTAAATCCATTTTTGTCTAGGTGACGCGAACACGTGTCATGTATGTGAACACGCGTCCAGCAAACTTATTTCAGTGTGAATATACAGTTCTGGTGTGATTACATTTCATATTATAATTGATTTTATCATGTTATAATTCATTTCAATTTTAATGTTATAATTCATTTCAATTATAATGTTATAATTCATTTCATGTTATACGGTAATTCATTTGTATGATAAAATGATCATCTATATGTCATATCGCCCTCCCATTCGCCCTCCCATCCTTCAATGTGGCTCAACCAACAGTAAAATTTCAATCTGGATTTATATACATTCACCTTATCCCCCATTAAATATAAGCTGGCTTGCTCAACTCCCGCTTTTCAGATGCGAAGTGCCCAGTAACTGGCGCTTGGTTGCTGCTTTGGTGGCCAGCAGCTCGGCTAGAGAGCGTTACTGATCCATTGGAATAATTTATGTGGCGTTAAGAGGTTCATTTGTCGGTCTTAGGGCAAAAGTTTGATCTGCAAAATGACCAGTTGTGGCATTGCAGGCCATGAGATCGGACTGGCGCCTCGTTAGGCGCTCGATAAAGCGGTAGGCTCAGGCTTTTTGAGGCCAAGTTCATTTAGCAGAGCCTGAGTCAGCATTTTCTAACTCATATTGCAGGAAACTTTTCATTTTCGGCTTAGTAATTGAGAAAGCTCCTAACTGGACACTGGCGGGCGATGCGAGCACACTTTTCTGTGGAAATATTTCTTAAAAGCGAATGTGCTCACAAAAAAATTAATGATAATATTGAACTAAGTTTCAATCATGGAGCTGCTGGGCAGACACAGCGTGAACACGATACAGCCGCCAAGAGTCTTTACTTTATGGGCGGCTGCAGCTGACCGAGATGAAGTCCCTTGATTTCTTTTGGGAATCATTAAAGGCTCTGTACGATTCCTGAAATTTCCCGTTTCTGGCAACCCTTAGGATTGCCGGGTCATGACCTCGTACAGAATGGTGATTGCGGCGCAAGCAGCTTTCTCTTGACAATTCCCGCTTGTTTTGGGGTCGGCCAATTGTTACATTCCATGACCAAAATTCTGTTGAACTGCTTCATCTCTATTGGGATTGATTTAAGCATGTTTTTTCTTGCACTGCTTATTACTTAGCATTAGCAGTTTACAACTGTGAGCGTGAATGATGTAATCTTCATGACTCGCTTTTCAGTGCATGATTAAATAATTTCTTAACTATTTTGAAGCCATTGCGTGTGAGATCTTTGCCCGTACAAAACATCGCTAATGTAGCGGCCAAGCAAGTAAGCCGAGGAGGGTCTTGTTTCCTTTCTCTATTTCAACCATCTTGAGTGAAGAGGTCCTAGGTTGAAGGCTCTGATGATGTTGGAACATTGCCCGTGCTGATCATTCTTAATGTAGCCCTGATACGACCATGTTGCTGACGATATTGGAACTTTGCCTACGTATGTCATCGTTAATGTCTGTCTCTTATACACATCTAGATGTGTATAAGAGACAGGTACAGGTGTACAGGTGTGTTCTCAAGCTGTACAGGTGCGTTCTCAAGCTGTACAGGTGTTCTCAAGTTCTCAAGCTGTACAGGTGCGTTCTCAAGCTGTACAGGTGTGTTCTCAAGCTGTACAGGTGCGTTCTCAAGCTGTACAGGTGCGTTCTCAAGCTGTACAGGTGTGTTCTCAAGCTGTACATACAGGTGCGTCCTCAAGCTGTACAGGTGTGTTCTCAAGCTGTACAGGTGTGTTCTCAAGCTGTACAGGTGCGTTCTCAAGCTGTACAGGTGTGTTCTCAAGCTGTACAGGTGTGTTCTCAAGCTGTACAGGTGTGACAGGTGTGTTCTCAAGCTGTACAGGTGTGTTCTCAAGCTGTACAGGTGTGTTCTCAAGCTGTACAGGTGTGTTCCTGTCTCTTATACACATCTAGATGTGTATAAGAGACAGACTGTTGGTACACCATACCTGCGCTGGGCTAGCTAATTGTGTATGCAACTATAAGCTTCATTCACAGTATGGCGCCAGCTTCATTTATACGCAGGGCAACTGTTGGTACACCATACCTGCTTTGGGCTAGCTAATTGAATAAACAACTATTCTCATGGCCTTTACAGGAATACTTAAGGACTACATATAACACAAAGCGAGAACAAACATCAGTGGCCATGGTTATAATCTGAATAAACTGCATTGCAACTAAGTACGATCGTGTATGACTGTATGTGAATGTAATCACGATTGTGTTAGTGAATGTATATGTGCGATAGTGTAAGTGAATGTGACGACATTTATTCTGCTTTGCGTCACCGACATGTGCAACAGACTTGCTGCTCATATAGTTATAATGACCGAATTCATGAGTCAGAGTATGACCGAATTCAAGAACATACTTGACGTTTTTATTCGCAGTCGGTTGTCTCGGCTACTACGCCTGATGTATACTGAATCTGTCTGATATGCGCGGTCCCGGTGAAAAATATCGGAACGAATTCGCGTCGCCGGCAAAACACTTATTTAAGAGCACTTACACTATCGTAATTACATTCACTTACATTATCGTAGTTTCATTCACATACACGATCGTCCTTACATCCACTTACACATTATACGATCGTCAGTAAAACAAAATAACAGATTGCTCGAACCTACAATAGTTGCAGCTACGTTGATGGTGACAATTGTGTTGGTAGGTTTTCAACCTACAATAATGTTATCTACGTTGATGGTGACAATTGTGTTGGTAGGTTTTCATCCTTTTATTATTATTATTATTATTATTATCATTATTATTAATATTATTATTATCATTATTATTATTATCATATACTGCCGTGGCACACACCAGGTACATGGCAGCAGGCACAGCCTTCATCCTGCAGCTGCGGACGGAGGGTCGCTCGCTGTTGTCGGAAGCCACCACCGCGTCCGGCCACCGCTTCTCCTACTGCCAGCCGCTGTGGTGGGAGGTCGTCACTGAGGCGGGTCAGGATCATTAGTTAAAATAGGAAATATATAGCAAATACAATCTTGATGTAACTTCTGTACACTATTTTTTTCACTGCAATGTATTTCGAAACAAGTAAAATATCATTAACTAAGGTTTATCTACAATTAGTGATATTCGAGCAATTACGTGGAAGCTGTTGCTAGGAATTCATTCACCGTCAGAACTCATGACCTGTATTGCTCTCGTGACTCGTCTGAGAACGTTGCACAGAACAAGATGATGTTCTCGCTAAATACATCGAAATACATTACAGAACAGCTGCCTTATGTGCACGTGTCCCGACAGAGGAGCTGCTGTTCCTGGTGTTCGGGCTGTACCTGCCTTATGTGCACGTGTCCCGACAGAGGAGCTGCTGTTCCTGGTGTTCGGGCTGTACCTGCCTTATGTGCACGTGTCCCGACAGAGGAGCTGCTGTTCCTGGTGTTCGGGCTGTACCTGCCTTATGTGCACGTGTCCCGACAGAGGAGCTGCTGTTCCTGGTGTTCGGCCTGTACCTGCCTTATGTGCACGTGTGTCCCGACAGAGGAGCTGCTGTTCCTGGTGTTCGGCCTGTACCTGCCTTATGTGCACATGTCCCGACAGAGGAGCTGCTGTTCCTGGTGTTCGGGCTGTACTTGGCCTTCCAGCTGCGCGGCGCCTCTGCGAGGTTCATCGCGTCCATGGGCGGCCGCTGTAACCTCAGCAGCGAATACAAGGCCCTGGCTGTGGAGCGCCGCGCCCTCACCGTCGCCCTCTGCCTCGAGCTCCTAGTGTCCTGCGTCCTCTACGTCATCAGACACGCGCCCCACGCCATCAGCTCCCTGCATCCTGACCAGCTCTTCCTGCTATACTTCGTGCGCGTGCATCTCACCATCACGCTCTCCATGGTGCTCATCATCGGTCCTAAGGTGAGCATCACCCTCTACATGGTGCTCATCATCGGCCATAAGGTGAGCATCACGCTTTCCATGGTGCTCATCATCGGTCCTAAGGTGAGCATCACGCTCTCCATGGTACTCATCATCGGCCCTAATGTGACCGTCACCCTCTCTGTTGTGCTGAACTATGTTAGTGATATCATTTCTGAGCCTTCAAGAACATTTTAAACAACATTTGTCACCCAGGCACCCGGACATCCCTACTAATCTACATAATGCATCACATCAATCAGTGCACCACCAGGCATAGCAGTGCAACTTCGAAGCCAGCACAGTTGCATCATAAGCTGCAGTTATTTACGATTTATACTCGGGTTCCCCATTGTTTCCTGTCATTTTTCGATCAGCCTGCAGTTAAACCTAACAACAAATTTTAACCCACAATTTAACCCAACAAACCTTCAAGACACAGTTTACCCCAACAAACCATTACGACAGTTTGTCCCAACAAACCATCAAGACACAGTTTACCCCAACAAACCATCAAGACAGTTTGTCCCAACAAACCATCAAGACACAGTTTACCCCAACAAACCATCAAGACAGTTTGTCCCAACAAACCATCAAGACACAGTTTAACCTAACAAACCACCCAAGCACAGTATGTCCAAACAAGCCACCAAGGCACTGTTTGTCCCAACAAACCACCAAGGCACAGTTTGTCCCAACAAACCACCAAGGCACAGTTTGTCCCAACAAACCACCAAGGCACAGCTTGTCCCAACAAACCACCAAGGCACAGTTTTGTCCCAACAAACCACCAAGGCACAGTTTAACCCAACAAACCATCAAGGCACAGTTTGTCCTAACAAACCAACACACCAGCTGTCTCTGGGGTCTCTTGTAAAAATGAGACCGGGGATCCACAACAACAACAAACCACCAAGGCACCGCTATTGCCCGGCAGTTGTGTTGTCGCGGAGACCCGCTGGACGCTGCAGGAGAGCTGCAAGCGAGGGAGGTGCCCACAGACCTGCACTTGTGTGAGCAGCTTGCCAACGGCGACGTCGAGATCAACGATATCAGCATCAACCAAATGGACCCTGAAGAAATCCGGGTAAGATCATGTATGTACTAAGGACATTCTTCAGTTGCTTCTTACCTTCAGTTCATCCCGCTTAGTTTATAGACTTCGCCTTCTGCCAGTTCGTTCCTTTTTAGTTCTGATATTGTGTTCGGCCAGTTAGCCAGTTCTTTCCGTTTAGTTCTGACATTTCGTTTTTTGCCACCGATTATTTTTATTGATTCTTTTGATTCTGCCTTTGGTATTTAATCTCGACCATTTATTTGATGAGAGCTTCTTCCTTAAGTTTGAGATGCACGTCTCTATTCACGGATGTTTTGTTGCGTTCATCTAAAAGTTTTCTAACGCTGGTAGCAAGGAAATTATTGCATGAAAACGCACCGTACTGAAGATGCTTAATTTTCTGGTCCAAATAATCATCGAAATCCCGAAGAGGAATTCTACCTAATGAGTCAATATATATTCTAGAACACTTGTCCTACAATTCAGGGGCGAAGTCGTCGCATAAAGTTATCGACAAAAACATGACTGTCTGAGCTTATTTGGAGTCAAGTCAAAATTTCATAGGCTGTTAATTTTATTTCTTCGTGAATCTTATAAATGCTTCACTTAACCCTCGATTGCCAAGGGTTCATTTTGCTCACCTTCTTAATTTACTGGTCAACTTGAATATGTTTTTTTGAAACGCAACAAGTAGCATCTAAAATTAATTTTAGCTCCTAATTAGAAAAGAATGAACGAGTTGTTTGTTTACTCACTATTAATTTTCTTTATATCAGTCAAAAATATTTCTGAACCAATTCTTTTTTTGAAAGTTACTGTTTTTACCAACTATGAATCGATCTTGTGTCTCATTTCGAAACAAACATTTTTCAACCTTTTGGCTTACACGGACAAGAATCAAATAATGGCATGAAACAATGGGATGATCCTAATAATGTGAGAAATGAAGTAGCGCCCCTACAGCAGCACCCCTACAGCAGCACCCCTACAGCAGCACCCCTACAGCAGCACCCCTACAGCAGCACCCCTACAGTACCACCCCNCCTTATTCGGCACGTTTTGTTGATCTCTTTAAGCTAGAAATTTTGCGATATCCGATGGCTTTCAATCTTTCAAAAAATTAATGATAATTTGCGATACGGGCATTAAAGTGAGCAATCCAGGTTTAAATTTACTGCATTTTTTGTTTTTGATCAAATATTCCAAGGGTTTTTCACTACAATTAATGTACCTTAGCAGTATTTACCAGTAATTATACCACGATCGTTGTTGAAACAGGAACTTTTTTATGAATTTTATATAAATATAATAAACAAAACTATTTTATAGATATTCACCGCCCTCGTTGGCTTTGGATCTACATCTTAGGAACTTCCAATTGCAAGCGCGTGGTGACTTCCATGCGCAGCGACATGCAACTTTGTTCCGGCCTCATGCGCTGCTGTATGACCAGCTCCTGCTGAAGCTAATCTTTGAACTATATTTTTATATATAGTTCTTCTAGCAATTAACCTCATGGTTGAACTAAATAAGGTTGACAAACGAGAAGTTCAGTTTCAGTTCAGCTTTCTTGTTACGTCACTGAGATCGAGAAACGTAAACAATCCCTTCTATCCCATGACGGGTTGGTTGACTGGTTTGAACGCATTGCGGTGATTGGTTCAATGCCTGTGACGTCACTGAGATCAGTGACGTCACAGGCGAACAACGAACTATATCCGCAAAAATGGGCTTCTGATGGGTCAACCTTATACTAGTTCAACCATGTGCTGAGTGTACTTCATCTACTAAGTGTACTCCATCTACTGTCTTATTGCTGTACATATTTATACGTGCAGGATATCTTCTTAGAGTTTCTCGTCTGTCTTTATTCGTGGAGAAATACAATGCGACAACATATAAAAATATTTTTATTCCTTTCACTCCTCTGTTAAGCATTTGAACTAATTTAGCTTCTCTGATTTTTTCCTGTGGACTTCATGACGCTTGGGCTGTCTCTTATACACATCTAGATGTGTATAAGAGACAGTACTTGTAGCTATACCGCTTATAATACAGTACTTATAGTTATAATACTTATAGTTATAACACTTATAACTATACCGCTTATAATACTTAAAGTTATACTACTTGTAACTATACCGCTTATAATACTTATAGTTATAACACTTATAACTATACCGCTTATAATACTTATAGTTATAATACTTGTAACTATACCGCTTATGATACTTATAATTATAATACTTATAACTATACCGCTTATAATACTTATAATTGTAATACTTGTAACTATACCGCTTATAATACTTATAATTGTAATACTTGTAACTATACCGCTTATAATACTTAGAATTACAATACTTATAACTATGCCTCTCTCAGGTATATAGTTATACCGCTCTCAGGTATATAGTTGTACCGCTCTCAGGTACATAGTTATACCGCTCTCTGGTACATAGTTATACCGCTCTCAGGTACATAGTTATAACGCTCTCAGGTACATAGTTATACCGCTCTCTGGTACATAGTTATACCGCTCTCTGGTACATAGTTATACCGCTCTCTGGTACATAGTTAGAGACACTCAGACGCTCTCAGGTACATAATTATACCGCTCTCAGATACATAGTTACACCTCGCTCTGGTATATACCTAATCATGAATCGCTCAGATATATAATTATAATTCGCTGAAATGTAATTATAAATGGTATTTTTGTGAAGGAAAAACCAGTTCAAGAAATGTTATTGTCGTGCTCAGGCCATTGATATTGTGCCGTTTTATCGATAATTGAACTAGCACAAAAAATAGTTTAATTTTGTGCTTGATGTTGCGGGTAACGCGGCCGTGAGAAACACTTCTTGACTATAGGAATAAATTGTACTTTATAATCAATTTTTTACAGGAAATTAAAGCTTTAGCGTTACACAACAATATTTCGACTACAGGAAATGGAGTAGCTTTAATATATGTATTTAAATTCATCTTCTCCATGTTGCTCTCGGCTCACATAAAATATAGATGCTGTGGTTGTTATTGATTTCGTTTCCTAGTTTCTAGATCCTATATTGTGCTATATAATTTGAAATTATTTCTCAGTTTATAGCTGAAAAATATTTGATAAAAAAACATAATGTCTTTTGTTGGGATGGTTTTTCAAATTTGCGTTAATTGCAATATTTGCATTGCATTATCACACGCTAGTTTACAGTGAAACATATTTTCTAACTCAAATTTCTTTATTCCGCAGAACCGCAAAGGCAGCAAAGACAAGGTGAGCACTGCAATAAAGGCAGCAAAGATAAGGTGAGCACTGCAATAAAGGCGGCAAAGATAAGGTGAGCACTGCAATAAAGGCGGCAAAGATAAGGCGAGTACTGCAATAAAGGCAGCAAAGATAAGGTGAGCACTGCAATAAAGGCAGCAAAGATAAGGTAAGCACTGCAATAAAGGCTGCAAAGATAAGGTGAGCACTGCAATAAAGGCAGCAAAGATAAGGTGAGCACTGCAATAAAGGCAGCAAAGATAAGGTGAGCACTGCAATAAAGGCAGCAAAGATAAGGTGAGCACTGCAATAAAGGCAGCAAAGATAAGGTGAGCACTGCAATAAAGGCAGCAAAGATAAGGTGAGCACTGCAATAAAGGCAGCAAAGATAAGGTGAGCACTGCAATAAAGGCAGCAAAGATAAGGTGAGCACTGCAATAAAGGCAGCAAAGATAAGGTGAGCACTGCAATAAAGGCAGCAAAGATAAGGTGAGCACTGCAATAAAGGCAGCAAAGATAAGGTGAGCACTGCAATAAAGGCGGCAAAGATAAGGTGAGCACTGCAATAAAGGCGGCAAAGACAAGGTGAGCACTGCAATAAAGGCAGCAAAGACAAGGTGAGCACTGCAATAAAGGCATATTTACCATTTACCTCGTCAATATTTACCATGCTAAGCTATCTCTTTATCTTATAGTCCAGTAGGTACTGTGCTTCACGTGACAAGCAACATTTTTTCCCGGTAATGCGAAGCTTAGAAATTTTGCTCGCCTAAATTAGTATAAGTCACCAAAGCAATAAATAAATTATTGATGAAATCGATGTTATATGTTATGCCTAAATTAGTACGAGTCACAAAAGCAATAAATAAATTATTGATCAAATCGATGTTATATGTTATGCCTAAATTAGTACGAGTCACAAAAGCAATAAATAAATTATTGATCTAATCGATGTTATATGTTATGCCTAAATTAGTATAAGTCACGAAAGCAATAAATAAATTATTGATCAAAAATAATAAATTAATGGTGTTAATTTGAATGGACGTGACGTACAGACTCAGGCGCGACATCGGGGCGCCGTGGCGATGGACTGCCTGGAGGTGGAGAACCGCACGCCCGAAGACTCGGTGTGCTCCATGGAGGGACCTTCGGGCGTGTCGGTCTACGCGGACTGTCCCTCCAACTTCTCTGAGATCAACGAGATCTCTTATAAGATGTAGTCGTTGTATATAACAGCGTCTTAATTATTAAATAGTGGAGCTTGGAACACAAGGATAAGATATTAACGAGCCGCAGATCTCTTGTAAGATGTAGTCGTTGTATATAGCAGCGTCTTAATTAAATGGTGGAGCTTGGAACAAAGCAAGGGTTAAATGAAGCAAGGGTTAAATGATAGAGCAAGGGTTAAATGAAGCAAGGGTTAAATGATAGAGCAAGGGTTAAAAAGCAAGGGTTAAATGAAGCAAGGGTTAAATGATAGAGCAAGGGTTAAATGATAGAGCAAGGGTTAAATGATAGAGCAAGGGTTAAATGATAGAGCAAGGGTTAAATGATAGAGCAAGGGTTAAATGATAATTCGGAGAAGCAAGGGTTAAATGATAATTCGGGCTATTTTGCTTATGAATATAGATCATTGAGCAAAATGTGGAGCCAGAAGTATTACTATAAGATATTGAGCCATAGATATAAATATGTTGCAGGGCTTATTACGTGCTCGTGGTGTACACCCATTTATTTTTCTGAAATATTAATTCGATGCTTAAATTTAATATATTTAAAGATACAAGAGAGCGGCGAAATTCTGCAAATGCTGAGTACAATGTGTTTCAAAACAATTGGCTGATTAAATATGATATTTCATAATTTTTTCAGAAATTTTGCGATAAATTTCTAAAAAAACAAATATAATCTTAAATGGAAACTCATTAAAATTTAGTTTCATTGACGCTTCTTCATTGGGCTTGTGAGCGATGACTTGAATAGAATCTTAAGTCGTGTTTAATGTAAGGTATTCATTGTTACAATTTCTTACCCGTGACTCTGGTACATAGTTATACAGGTACATAGTTATACAGGTACATAGTTATACAGGTACATAGTTATCGTCTGGTCTTACTTAGACTGGTCTATAAAATATGATTCTCATTATTTGACGGTACAAAGAACAATTATAAGTTTAAGTTTATGTTTTAACATGCATGATAAAAGTTTGTAAGGTGCATCCATTCATTCTTCTTTTCTGAAGAATTTTTCATTCTTCATTCTTTTTCAGCGCGAACTGAAAGGTTCTGTTAAGTAGAGGTAATTATCTTCATTGATATTTACATGAAAGTTCTCTACTTACTCCAATGTTTATTTATTTAAGCGAAAAGTAAAGGCTCTAGTCTTGAGCGCATGACAATTTTAGTTTAGGTTTGTTTAAATTTTATAAGTTAGCCGGACTTTCTTTGTTGAAGGTCGTAGCTGACGCTGCAAGATTGGAATTACGTTTTTACCTTACCTGTTAACAACTGACGAGAAGCTCTTCCAAGTGTTGTGAAAAGGTTCGTATGCCGTATATACAGGGTGCGGCGCGGGAACTTACTTATTTGAATTGCGCGCCACGTGGCGGCCATTAGTCCTAGGAAGGTGGCGCCATGCGCAATATGGTGCGCGGGCTATGAAGTTTTTCGTCCACTCAGTTCAGTTGCGTCAGCATGGAGGTCACCTACAAGATGTAATATTCAAGAATTAAACTTGTAAGTAAACCCAACGAAACTTTAAATGTAGCTCTTTGTAAAAAAGAAAGAATTAAAACGCTATCTTTAATACTTTTTACTTTGTGATTTTTTTAAAAGAGTAAGTTCCCACGCCGCACCCTGTATGTTTATGACCTCATGCTTCTACCGATACCCTCTACACTGCAAGCCATAATGTTACACAAAAACAATAAATTCTCAAAATTGCTCTTTTTAGCACGAGTCAGCCATTTCTTACTACTGTAGTCATTTGTCATCTCTCTGTGTTTTTTTCGTGACCTTACTTACTATCTAAATGGTGACCTTTACTATCGAAATTAGTTTTATGGTGGCAAAATTTCAAATCGATTGAATGACAGGCATAGAAAATTGTCCTCTTTAACAAGTTTATAGGTGAACTGCTATAACCCGACGTGCGTTTATAACGAACGGAATGTTACCCTCTAACGAATGGCGTGCTGACTCATAAATGATGAAGTATAGCCAACTTAATGATGAAATTCATCTTACTATCATATAATTAATTTCTTTGTTCATCCCTGTGTTGGTGTCACGAATAAGTCAGCTCACCGTTCTAGTTCTTGCGTGATTTGAAAGATTTCCTCAGTGGCGCGAAATTAGCCGTAGTTTGAGGGTCGAAATGCTTTCTTTTAAAGTTCATTTGTGGTCACTACGCGTAACTCAAATACAATGGCACAATATCTCTGTTCTGATAATGACCGTCTCTGATTACAATCAACCGGCTGCTTATTTTGTTTTCATCTCTGTCATGATCAGAGAAATATTCAATTGTTTCGATGAATATTAAATTATCTTACTTGAACACGAAAATTATGTTTATAATCTTGATAATTAGATTTATTAAAGCACGTCTCGTTCTACCCAATGAAGAAAAATATTTGATATCCAGAATAAGTGAAGACTCGCTTGTTAAGAACTCATCTCTTGTGATGAATTTGTTTATGGATTATGGATCTCGCAAATAGATCTCTTTCTTCTCTCCATTTTGATGAACTCTGTCTGTTGAAAATGTACCATAAATGAATGTAAAAAGTAAACAATTGTTCAAACAAATGTGTTGGCAAGGTTAAGGGCTGCAAGTCAGTTTAAATCGAATCCATCACACGTATCAATGTCTTGTATTTGGCTAAATACTTAAATATAACTACTCTCACACAAGTTACTCACGTTGCTAGAGAGTCATATTACTTTTGTCACACACAAGTTACATATTACATACGCAGTTACATTGCCATTGATGAGAGAAAAAGCAACTTCTTTATAGAGATCTACAAATATTGAATTGAGCAAAATTTTCTGTCTAAGAGGACGTAGATGACCTGTTGAGCTACAAGTATTTTTTAATTTTCCTCATACAATTGACACAAACTTCAGTGGACTTAGTACTCTTAATTTTTTTATAAGCTATATTGTATGTTTCCTTTGAAACCTTGAATTAGAATATTTCCACTGTATTCGTAGAGGCAGAGCCTCAAGATAAAATACTGCTCAAAAAGGTTCCCTCTAGCGGAAACTTATGCCAAGCTTCATTTAAAAGTTGTGCATAGCAAACGTAGAGTGCAACCGCGCCAGTAACGCCACTATAGTTGATGTGGCAGGGTGGCCCAGTGGTTACAGTTCAGAGTACCAAGATTGGAGCAGAGAGGCGCGGGTTCGATCCCAGCTCTGTGCGCCAGTTTCTGGTCAGAATCGGCAAGGAGGCCGGGCGGTTAAGTACAGCAGAATTGTAGCAGTGAGTTGCGAGTTCGAGACCGCAAAATGCGGTGAATGTTCTGCGATCTTCAGAAACGGCGACAGGCCTACGGCCTACTAAGCGCTGAAACCGCTATTCTAGTCTATTCTATTAGTGGCATAAACTCTGCCAGTGTTAATTTTCTCATCACAAATATTTGTTAGCACTTTGTTCGGTAATCAAAGCCAGAATATTTATTGTATTTTGTATGATGACGTAACTGCGGTGCTGTATCAGACGGAAGACGTGTGACTCCATGGCGCCCCATGAGCTGTAAACTCTCCATCACCAACTCCAAACTGCAAGAATAACTATTATCGAAGCCGTTATCTTTGTTCGTATCATTAGCATGTTAAATCTCAACGATTCTAAACAACAACATCAACAATTGTGAATGATATTTTCATTTCATGGCTTATAACTCGAGTTACTGGATCTAGATAGAGGGTTTAATACGAGAGAATTTTTTGGTAAAGCTTGGTTATTGCCTTATTCGGCACGTTTTGTTGATCTCTTTAAGCTAGAAATTTTGCGATATCCGATGGCTTTCAATCTTTCAAAAAATTAATGATAATTTGCGATACGGGCATTAAAGTGAGCAATCCAGGTTTAAATTTACTGCATTTTTTGTTTTTGATCAAATATTCCAAGGGTTTTTCACTACAATTAATGTACCTTAGCAGTATTTACCAGTAATTATACCACGATCGTTGTTGAAACAGGAACTTTTTTATGAATTTTATATAAATATAATAAACAAAACTATTTTATAGATATTCACCGCCCTCGTTGGCTTTGGATCTACATCTTAGGAACTTCCAATTGCAAGCGCGTGGTGACTTCCATGCGCAGCGACATGCAACTTTGTTCCGGCCTCATGCGCTGCTGTATGACCAGCTCCTGCTGAAGCTAATCTTTGAACTATATTTTTATATATAGTTCTTCTAGCAATTAACCTCATGGTTGAACTAAATAAGGTTGACAAACGAGAAGTTCAGTTTCAGTTCAGCTTTCTTGTTACGTCACTGAGATCGAGAAACGTAAACAATCCCTTCTATCCCATGACGGGTTGGTTGACTGGTTTGAACGCATTGCGGTGATTGGTTCAATGCCTGTGACGTCACTGAGATCAGTGACGTCACAGGCGAACAACGAACTATATCCGCAAAAATGGGCTTCTGATGGGTCAACCTTATACTAGTTCAACCATGTGCTGAGTGTACTTCATCTACTAAGTGTACTCCATCTACTGTCTTATTGCTGTACATATTTATACGTGCAGGATATCTTCTTAGAGTTTCTCGTCTGTCTTTATTCGTGGAGAAATACAATGCGACAACATATAAAAATATTTTTATTCCTTTCACTCCTCTGTTAAGCATTTGAACTAATTTAGCTTCTCTGATTTTTTCCTGTGGACTTCATGACGCTTGGGCTCCCAAAAGTTGCAGTGGGATCCTGATAGTTGCTTTCAATTTGTTAGTAAATTTATGCGTTTCTGCCGGTTTTTAGGGTAACATTTAACTCAAATTGACTTTATTTCATTCGTTGAAGATTAGTCTTTTAAATTACTTATTAATTGAATATGCAACAATTCATTGTGCAAAAACCACTATTTTTTTAATATACTTATCAAAACATTCATAACAGATCGGCAACGAAAGCCAAGCACTAGTCTGCGTTCTTCAATAATCAGCAATTAGCAGCCACTTTAATGGTAAAGATTCATTATAGAGTTTCCAAACCTGTGAGTTATTTCCTCCTGGAAAAAGTGTGTCATGCCTTCTCTCGAGTGGGTCGTTTCACGCTCGACTTTTCTCGTCACGCTAAAACTATTGAAACATCACAATACGTTAAATTAAAAACAAAACAACTATCGTAATATTGAAGGCTGTATGAAATTAATAAACTGAAATTAGGTGACGAGAAATTACCAATAAACAAAAGTAAACAGTAAAGGTAATTAACGAAAAAGTGTTTCGTTTGCTACTTGTGCATAGAAAAAGATGACGGCTTCAATAATTATTAATGCCCTAACACATTGGAACTTCATGCCACATTTGCAGGGTACAGACTTTATATTCACAGCTGCAGCGAATAATTTGCCAGGATTCAGGAACTCTTCTTCTCTTGTTGGCAAAAAGCGGCTACAGATACCGTAGTGATCCATACCGGTCGGACAAAAGCGCGTGGGCGTTAGCGTGGGTTACAGCGTGGGCCAGCCCGGCCCTGAACCTGCCCTATACCAGCTTCCGACCGGTGTGAATCACCCATCTCGTTGCCGTATAATAGAAAACGTTAGAAATGTTTTAATAATAAACCATATCGATTTATAATACAAACTTATCCTTTGACCATACATATATATAATACAAATAAAAGTAACTATTAACCAAATAGATTTATAATACAAACAAAATTATCAATAAACCACAGAGATTTATAAAACATAGACAAACTTTTACTTGAATAAAGTTGGTCAGACACTTCATAACACCGTAATTTGAATAATTTTGTTAATTTTTTAATACATGGCAATGTCGCTCAGAAAAAATTACATGGCAGGAGTTGCAATCAATTTTTACAGAAAATATGCGATGTTAGCAGCTGAACCATGCTCAACTCCTGCGATTATCATTGCATTAATATCTAATCATATACGCACATTTCTATCTACGTCGAAGTATCTGTGACTGTATTTGCTGCACTTAACTGAAAAGTTTTACAGGGTGGTAGGTGTCAGCTGGACAACAATTTCTTCACAACAATCTAAATGTATCCGAACTTGCTTCTTCTATCCCCGCGATATGACTTTTTTTTCTATTTTATGTGTTCGTAAAAAATAAAACTTGGAATAAATTAGCTTATGTGGACTCAAACTACTACTTAATTTCGTACGATCTAGTCGTTTTTTAGGACCTTTATAATTAATGATTGTAAATATCTTGCATCATCTAGCCACGTGAAGGTAATCGAACACGCTTTCTAGTCTTCTCTGGTAGCGATACGAACATCGCTGCCGGTGTTTCAACCAATTACAGCTCGCCAACAGTAAAGCAACGTCAGGCAAACGAATGGACACGTTTTAGTAAAGAAGCACCTTTCGTGTGTGGTGGTGCGTGTGAACAGTGCTGAAGCATCGTTTACCTACTAGACGTTTCGTGCGAGACTGTCACTTATCAACTCAGTAACTGGTGAGTTAGGAAAAGGCAGCTCATGTCTAAGTTATTTCTTTCGCAAATTTGTTTAGTAACTCAGTTGTATTTAAAGCTCCTGTTTTCTCTTACTTGAGCGGAAGTTGAGCCTAATATTGATATAATTAGGTAGCGTAGAGTTAAGGCTCTCTTCAAACGTCAACCTAGACTGCTAGTCTGTGTACCGTGAAGGTACCTAGTATGGTACGAAAGGTAGTATTATCGTATACGTACCCAGCTTCTGATCTAGTACTTCTTAGTACGTAGTAGCTAGTAGTAGGTGATAGACTGATAGAGCTCTGAGCGTAGAAGTAGGTATATGCGACTGTATCTTAGCACAGATACTTTCATCATTGGTTATGGAAGCAAGTCCCTACACAGGCAAACTGAGGCAATGTGAGTCTGAGGAGTCTCCAAGTCCAGGGACCATTTTTTGCAATGTCCTGTGGCCTGTGCTCCTGTAAATTGACAATTTTGTCCTATGTTACCTGTGGTGACTAGCAGTCTGGCACTGGCCACAGTCCACACTGCAAAGTGACTGTGTCAGACTGTCAGTCACAGTTGACACTCACTAGACAGTTAAAGCTGTTGAGTGCTATGATAATACTGATATGATGTAATTCACTAATTGCAATTTACTGTCCTGAAAACTAGATAAAAGATATGTCTTTGAATAGTGACTACAATTCTACAAATACAATGTCTACAAAATGTTGTTGTTAGATTGTCAAATTAAGAAAATGCCAATTCATAGTGGCAAATATATATATACCTAAGAAATTTTTTAGAAAGTCGAAAGTTAGAAACCAATTCATTTATAAATAATGACTTCCTAATCTAGTTTGAGATTTTGTTCAATATTATAAATTTGTATTTTAATGCTGGCATCAATGATTGGAATTTTCTTACCATAAAATGGGGTAACTTAGACCACTTTTTTTTTATAAATGATGCCATTTTTTTACTAGCTAAATTAAACTTGAATTGAAATTTGCAAAATACAGGTCTATACTCTAGCTTCACTCACCATAAATGGCTGGCTCCTGCCTCTCATAGTTTTTATGTAATTTCAAAAAAAGTTATGGTCTTTGTTACCCCAGCTCTTGGGGTAACTTAGACCGGGTGGTAAAATCAATTATATTTTTTTGTAAAATAACTCCAAATAAATCCAGGTTTTGGTGCATTGTAGTAAAACTCTTATAGTTACATATGCAAATGAAAAACTTGAGGAAAGTGTCATAGTTTGCAAATGGGGGGTCCTGCCCCCCAGGTGGTCTAAGTTCCCCCAAACGGGAGAACTCTGACCACCTAATGGCAGCCCTGACAAGGTTAACATAGACCGGCCTGGAAATTAAGTTAAATTACCATATATAAGACTCTGTAGAGTCTGAAACCTAAAGAAAAAACATAAATAGGCTGTCAAACATAAAATATGTTATATATGGTAATTTTATATTAACTTTCAAGCCGGTCTATGTTACCCCGTCAGGGCTGACATTAGGTGGTCTAAGTTACCCCATTTGGGGGCAGCGCCCCCCATTTGCAAACTATGACACTTTCCTAAAATTTGTCATTTGCATATGTAACTAGAAGAGTTCTACTACAATGCATCAAAACCTGGAGTTATTTAACCAAAAAATAAAAAAATTGGAGGGGATACTCTGACAGGCTTTAAATAATAGCTTTTTTTCATGGGTCACATTTTTAACTTTTTAACCTATTAGATATGCAAACTTTTCAAATCTTTCTCTTGTGTTATGTGGCCTCAGTATTAGGCCTTTAATGCCCATTGACAAAATTTTTCTATGTCAAATAGTTTTTGAGTTGTGGGGGTTTTTGTTAAAAAAACGAAAAGTGGTCTAATTTACCCCGCCGGTCTAAGTTACCCCATTTTATGGTACTTGTTATTGAAATTTTATGGCTCCAAACCAAATAATGGTCAGTAATAATAAATGATCCTCCAAAGTGACAATTTTTTTATACAAATAGAATCTTGCTGCCTGATCATGCACTTTAGTTGAAAACTTGAAATTGAAAACTTTGGTATAGTTTGGCAGAAGTTGTTCTTTAAATCAAGTAGAAGAATTTTGTCAAACTTGAGGCTAAAATTTTGTAATGAGATTATCACAGCTGTAGGATATTATGGATACAGATTGAAAATCTAAGCTTGGCAATCTAAAATCTAAGGTGGCATGTGTGGTGGTGGCTCAAAGGCATCCTGGTCAAAGTCAAACCAATGTAATTTTCATTCTAGAGAAGTCTAACTGGCAATTGGGCATCTATGATGCTTTCTGGTCTACTTTATTTGTAGGACTAATCACTGAATAGGAAAAGTCAACAAAATAGTCTCGTGTCAATCAATTTGTGCAAGTAAGTGCAACTACCAAATACCAATTCAGGGTAGAATTTGGCTTATTTGGGAATCAGGAGGGTTCATATCTAAACAAATGCACATATATTAGATCTAAGAATCTGAAACTAGTTTTTCTTTTAATATTTTGCTAGTGATTGTTACTATGTTGGAATCTAAAACTGATTAAGATACCAGGCTCAGCAAGATCGATCAATCTTAAAATAAATCAGCTGGCAGCTGTCATTGTGATCCTTCAAGGGACTTGGAGCACTGTAACTCACCAGCTTAATATTGCCTAATGACTGTTGCCTCCTTTAATCAATTGAGAAGAAAATATATTGAGTTAAATATTCCATTTACTGCTGCATTTTTATATCTAATTACTTATTATGTATTGAACATTGTCATGAACACATATAATTCACTGATAATAACTTTAATACCATTTTGAATCTGTAAATATCTAAGCCTTGAAGCATAACTTATGGTCAGAATTAATATTCTATTTATAACTCAATTTATTCTCTGGGTGTTAAAAACCTAAAGCTTTTCTTTTGTAAAACTTGCCTCATTTGGGTTAGTGGGCAGCTTTTGGACCTAGGAATATTACTAGTAACCTAGTGCAACCCTGAATTTATTCTCAAACGCTAATGTTTTGTAACCTTTGTGCAGATATGAAGTCATTATTTTTAGCAGCCTGCCTCCTGGCAGTTTGGAGCTGCATTCTCAGTGGCCAGAATGTCAGAGCTGAAAGTGATGGTGATTGTGAAGGTAAGTCTACCTCTTAATTAGCTCTTGACCTCAAGTAGGGCTCAAATCTTTAATGAAAGTCTAAAATGACTTGAAATATTATTACTTGAAAGATTGAACATAATGTTCCTCATAAATAAGCACAGTAGTGAATAACCTCCTGTAATTTATGTCTTTCTTTATAAATTATGTGTTCATAAGGTGCCATATTTATTTTTCTCCAGCAATTTATTTTATTATAGTAGAAAAATATGGATGGATTTTTAATAAAAATGATGAATTAATTATTTTCTTATATTTACAAATTGATATGAAGTTTTATATATATATATATATATATATTTATTTATTGTACTTTTGAGACTCATTTGAATCACTGACAATTTACAAAACTATACTTGTATATGAATATACTCAACCCTCTGGTGGGCAAGTTACCATAAATGGCAACTTACCATAACTGGTAACTTGCAATCTAACCACCAAAGAAGTACCATACTCCACATCCAACAGCTTGTGTTTGAGGCTATCTTACCATATCTCTGCCAATCACCAATAATATGTGTTCTGAATAGTACATTACATTAGTCCCATTGAGAAGTGAAGTGATTCAAAGAAAGTTGTATAGCAGACACTAAAATCAGGAGAAGCAATACTTCTCCAGTTGATAATCTGTATGTTGCTTGTATTTTACATCATATTCAATTTAAAAAGCTAAGTCTAAGTAAAGAATCAGCTAACATATCATTATTTATTCCTTTTATGTACAATATTTAAATAATAAGCAAACTTGTCTCAACAATTTTCATTTTATGTTAATAATAATTTTAAATTTTCTGTAATTTTTCTTTGCACATGCTTGAGTCAAAACAGTTTCTATGTATATTATCTGCAAAAATAAATGACTTTAAGTTGAATTTTTTCTTGCAGTGTGCATTGGATTCCTGGAAAAGTTTGCCGGCACGCTGACAGAGGCTGAGAAGAAGGACACAGCGGCCATTGAGAAGAAATTCAAGGAACTGTGCAGCACTGCCAAGAGTGCGTACCAGATGTGGCTTGAAATTGTGCACTAGTTTTGTATTGGCTAACAAAATTTTTCTCAGATAAACATAGGATGACTAAGATGATTCATATGAAGGTTATGGAAAAGTATATTGTTCAGAACGGATATATATAACATAGGATGACTAAAATGATTGTTATGGAAGCATATGTTGATCAGCACGGATATTTTTAACATAGGATTACTAAGATGATTCATATTGGTTATGGAAGAGTGGGTATATTGATCAGCACAAATATATATAATATTATGATGACTAAGATGATTCATATTGGTTATGGAAGAGTATACTGATCAGCACGAATATAGGTATATAATATTATGAAGACTAAGATGATTCATATTGGTTATGGAAGAGTATAGTGATCAGTACGGATGCGTTCACACTAAAAACTATCCTAATATCATGATATACAGTGATGAAAGTTTTTCTCATTTTCGACAGGATTGGTAAGTTGGTGTCTTTGATGTCACTTGCTAAGCTTTTACTTCTATGTGCACGCATAATTACAATAATTTACAAATTTAGTTACAGATTTTTTGTGTGGCCTATCGTGAATAATTTCTTGTTATTCATTTATGAATGCTAATTAGCCAAATCTATTCACAAATTTATTTCGTAATACAAACGGTGTTTCGTTTAAACTTACTTCTTTATTCTTTATGAATCATTACAGATACGTATAAAATCTTTAAAGTTGCATTTAAAATGAAAAAATAGTTTAAAATAAGTAAAATAGGTAGTAGTAGATGTGGAATGAAGACAAAGTTATTTCACGCAACTTGCCTTGACTGCAAGTTGCAAAATATGATTACAGCAATTGACCTGGAGTTGTACTACTATAAAAAATTTTAGCGTCTTTGTACACGAAGCGTCCGTTTTTTTTTTTTTATCCGTCGACTTGTGGGTTTTGATATGAAAGCTGTTAGTGATTGACTGACGGAGTTACAAACACATAAATATTTGTAATAGAATGGGCCCTGGTAATGAATAATGTCTGACTGTGCAGGCCGGGAGAACCGCTTCTGTTACTACGTAGGAGGCTTGGAGGAGTCAGCTACAGGCATCCTTGGCGAGATGTCCAAGCCCTTGTCCTGGGGCCTGCCTTACAACAAAATCTGTGAAAAACTTAAGAAGAAAGATTCACAGATCTGTGAACTTAGATATGGTGAGTTACTCAGTACAATTATTAGCTCGAGATATGGACTAAGCAATTAACTCGAGGTATGGACTAAGCAATTAACTCGAGGTATGGACCGAGCAAGCCTCTTGCGAAGAAATTGAACACTGATCTATTTGGCTCAGACATGTTTGGGTGGATCATATTTTCGCAGCTTATTATTTTTCACTGTAAATACGTTGCTCTCACAACTCTCTGTCTTAGTGACCCAGATTCATTTTTTCTTCCTTCAATGTTCAATTGTATGAAGAAAGTTTGTGCCTCAAATCGAGTCTAACAAATACGTATTCAAATTATTTAGAAAACGATCATTTTCGTAACCTATAACGACCTACTGCTTTCATGCTGCAATGTAGTCTATACCAGAAAACTTACTGCGCTGGAGCGTGATCAATTTAGCAATCATCTTGAGTTATGGGAATTGAATGCTGCAAATTTAATGAAAAATATGACTTCATATTCGATACGCCCCATGCAACACATTCTTTCATTATTTAATCACGCAAATCTCACTAATTTGTAATTAAATTTACTTGTACTGATCTGGTTAAATCTCATCGTCACATTTTTACCATTGTCTGTAATGCATGCATAGAGATTTGTGCAATGATGTACCCTATGTTGGAATTTATAGGGCTAAATTCGTAAATAACGTTATAAATCATTCGTAAATTCAACGTGTAGGTGCTGAATATATTTGCTGAATACAAAGTTCAGTGAATGTTAATATTCACTGAACTTTATTATCAAAGAAAACGCTGAGCTCGTGAGTCTGTCAAGTATTTAAGCGAGGTAATGATCAGGATTTTCTTCTTGATTGCAGAAAAACAAATTGATCTGGGAAGCGTAGACTTGAAGAAGCTCAAGGTTCGAGATCTGAAGAAGATTCTACTGGACTGGGATGAACAGTGCGACGACTGCCTCGAGAAGAGCGACTACATTCGCTTCATTGAGCAACTCAAACCAAAATATGTCAAAAATGAATTGTAATACTGGCGTATTTTAGAATATCTCGTACTGTGTTAGCAGAGTGTTTCAAGTGACCTATTTTATAAGTAGATGTTTGCTGGAAGTTGCGTACGCGTGTTTGTGTGCATAAGTGAACGTCAATATATGCTAGTGGGCAAATGCATTTTAGTCAGAGTACCACGTGTCTTATTTTCTGTTATTTAAAGAAACTGTTGTTAACATAGCATTTTTTCTTAATAACACTTCTGTGAGAATGATGAACATCAAATATTTTCCACTTTACTCACGTACCCTGCCTTCAGATAATATTTTCGTAAGGTTTGACTAGATCATCAGCGAGGCCATGCAGTCAGTACTGGCGTTTTGGTTGGACCAGCTAACGTCCCAGTCCAGTATCCTGCAGACTAACAACAATCCAACTAATAGTTAACAACTTCTGAGTAGCAATATAATATCACTTCGGAATTACCTTAGCGTGATCGAAATGAGCGAGATGTACCAGGAAAAACTGAAACTTAGCGTTCAGTATAATTTTTGAAAGTTATCCGTAATTTTATTTGAAAGTTATCCGTAAAAGTTCATTCGTCTCGTCTTACAAGCTGTTATTTATTATTTTTTGTAAGATTTTGTTGTATTCTTCTCGATTTCTTTTTGCACAAGTAACGTTTGAACGAGAAATGTAATTTCTCACGTGACTATCTAAAACGATAAGTGTTATTGTCATACCAGTATTTTGAGAAGAAAATTCATCCTGATGTTTATTTTTTGGCCCTCTCCGAACTGCAAAGGAACCACTTTGCTGCTGACCACAAAAGCGCTTGCTTGGTTTTCATTTCGAGCTACTCTGAGGCAGGGGAAAACAAATTCATCTTCTCTCCTGCACCTGTCATAAACATGTGTCATGCTCCAGGTTCTGGAAGAGTATATTAAGCATCAACCCCGCAGCCTCTTCAGGGAGCATCAGCTTTATAGAGGCTAGTGGTGATGAGACTATTGGTGTCACACAATATCGCGATAGGCCTACCAAGGGATAGTGATCTAGGTACTAGCTTCAGAGTTTATTGACACGAATTCAGAGCAGGGGGGCGGCGGCGAATAACTGAATTAGAAAACTATCGCGATAATTTTTCACTACATGAAAGTAAAGTAAAGCACTCTACGTTCAGCACACAAAAAATAGAAGAAATCTAATGCAAAGAGACCTGTGATGCGTAGAACACTTTTTTTATGCAAGAGGAAACGTAAAATCGGGCATATGCAACAAATGCTCAATTAAATAGACCAATCCCTGCACGCAACGACTATTTGTCGACACAAGAATTCGAACATACCTTCACTTTAGTACCATTGCAGCGCGATACCGAGTTCAGAACCTGTTCAGTAATTTTATTTCTAGCGGGATTTTTTCATTTTAATTCGTTTTAAATTGGAAATATCGCACGGCGCAGCATGTCATTCACCGTCATTAATGCGTGTAACAGTACATCAAAGATAGTAAAGAATTTGAATGAATTAATCAGAATCCGACGCAGATCCAGCAGACGATTCTTTGGTCTCCTGGCGCTTCATGCTGCGCAGGGCCTTCTCACGCAGGCGCCTCTCGAGCTCCTCAGCTCCGGGGCCGTCGCCATCTTCTTCTTCATCGCCACTGGAATCCTGATAATAAGCACAGGCTTGTCAATATAACTATATTCTATGATCCGAACGAACAGCCAAATGGCTGCAGCATCTTCTAACTTCACAATGAGCAAGAACATTTTTCTTTACTTTCTTAATCCAAGTTTATTCACCGATATTACCGAGCTAAATTCGCTTACTCGGGTTGCATACAAGATAGCACATACATAACATATATTGTATGTTGCTGTGTAACATTTAAAACATGTATACTTTTTTGTAATATTGAACTTGCAAACTTCAATACATTTCGACCAAAGCGTGCAAATTTATCATCAGCTTAATCACGCTTTTCTAGAATGACTCGCGACTAGACGAAGTCGTTCCCCTACGATGAACTGGTCATTCTAACGTTTCATTACTGGTATTTAGGTGGCTGCTTAACAAATTAAGTCACAAAGTCAAATGAATTTACCATTTTCCACTGAAATATAATGAATTCAATTATATATATTTTTTCTGATCAAATTTTGGTGACATTACGAACCAAGCAAATAAGAAACTAACGAGTACTAGTGAGCAAATTATTGATCAGTAAACAAGACGAAGAACAAATTGATAATCGACTGTACTTGTACACACTAAAAATTATACATTCAACATATTACAACGAACACATTATTTTCTGTGAATCATGAAGGGCGATCATACATATATATACCGTTAATGAACTTATTTCATGCGGAATATAACGTCGACGAAGGTAGCATTCAAGACAACGGGTGATACCGACAACTGTTATCTATTATAACAACTGTGCTCATGCAAAGCAGATGAGCATAAGCTACTAAATTACAAATACAAACCTCATTACGTTGTTTCTTATGCTTCTTATGTTTCTTGGTCTTCTTGTGCTTCTTCTTCTTATCCTTCTTTTTCTTCTTCTTCTTTTTCTTCTCCTCGGCGTCCGATTCCTCGATAGGAAAAAATTTCAGTTAAATAACATATGCAATACAGAGAAACAAATGAATACTCGAGCACAAAAACGTTCAGGCTGTCAACGTTGCCTAACACTTTTTTCACATGGGAATAAGTTTATGTACGGTACATCGTGATAATTTCCATTAAAACACATAATAGTTTACAATGTTCATTACTTAATAAGATCACTGTTCAAGTTATGGGTTGAGAGCGTATATAATGCATTCATGATGGTCGGTATGTAACATGAATATTGCATTTAAGAAAGGAAATTGATCAGGAACTACATCACGAATTAATAAGAAATACATCCCTGATGTACAAGGAATATGAATCGAACACAATTTTTTTTCAAATATTCACCTCAGACTCTGAAGAACTGGGAGCCGCCTTCTTCTTACGCTTCTTTTTCTTCTTTTTATCTTTCTTGTGGACCGGAGAAGAGACACTCGAGTCAGAAGACTGTTCCTCCTCCTCTTCCTCAGAGTCCGAGGATTGGGATTTGCGTTTCTTGCGTCGCGGTGGAGGTGGCGGCGAGGCTTGATTTGAAGCCGAAGATGAAGCAGAAGATCGACGGCGCTTGGGAGCCGCGACGCTCTTCTCGGCTCCAGAGTCTTCAGAGTCGCTGGATGATCCATCGCTGGGAGGCCTGCCAGGAGAGAAAAAAACTTGTTCGTTTATATGGACGCATATTTAACAAAAAGAGAGGCTAACGCATTCAGATGAGAGAGTCCATAACGTTGATACCCTATACGCAAGACATGAGAAACGATCCTATAATTTACGTTGCGAGACAATTTATACAAAGAATTATTATAGTGTTTTTAGGTAAACACTCAGGCACATGGCTGAGGCTGCAGAATTTCCAGGTGAAAACTGCATACATACAACTTTTGTTGCACGATTGTATCACAGTATTAATGTTCTTACTGCTTCTCTTACATGGATTATTATTGATTAATTCTTTAGCCTGTTTATTATCAAGTCAAATGAATTTTTTCTTTGTTTTACGACAAACCTGGCGGGAGCAGAAGGGGCGGCACTAGCCGACAGTTTAGAGCGGACCTCCTCTATGGTGTCGGCGCCGTAGTTGGCGAGGGCCATGAGGCGGCTCGCGTTGTTCAGGTTGTGGGTCTTGCCGTCCCTGCTGGATGGTGGCGGGCTACGTCTGCACACAACAAGGAACGCTGTAGTGAGAGCTGCGTACTGAAACAAATACTAATTGTCGGAGGTCAAACAGAGGAATGCTGGCAGAGTAGAATATGTATAAATATATACGACCTTGGGGCAGAAGTGGGTATAAGAAGTGAGACAGAAGATGGCGGGAAATACGGTAGAGAAGAAGGAAGACAGACGCGAATAAGCGGCAAGACGGCAAATGACAAGCAGGAAGACTTAATAAAGAAAAATATTGCCTATAATTATAGGATTTAATATTCAATATTTATATATTAAATAATAATCCAATATGATACGATTAAATATAAATTTAATAAAAAAAAACTGAACAATGATATTAGCTCCTCTGCAGCTTCAGCACATACAGGTATTCACGTACCTGATGGGAGAGCGCGAGCGCCTGTGAGGGTAGCCTCCAGACCCTGCGTTGCGTGGCGACCGGCTCCTGCGGGACAATTAAAAAAATATATAATTAGTTTAACGATAAATAATTTCACACAGAATCATCTAGTCAAGATACGCTCTAATTCACAATAAAACTTCAGCCAAAAACATTTATACGCAATGTCTAAAATTATTGCTTCTATTAACAATAGGAAACATCATTCATAAACTGTAGCTTGGTATTAAGAAACTTGGTTTAAGTAATCACATTCTATGTCATGAAATTGCGACAAATCCAGAACAAGGGAATCTTAACAAGCGCACTGAGTTACAAGTAATAATAATAAATGATGCGAGTGCTAACCGTCTCCGCACTGAGTTACAAGTAATAATAATAAATAATGTGACTCCCCACCGTGAGCGCACTGAGTTACAAGTAATAATGATAAATAATGTGACTCCCCACCGTGAGCGCACTGAGTTACAAGTAATAATAATAAATAATGTGACTCCCCACCGTGAGCGCACTGAGTTACAAGTAATAATAATAAATAATGTGTCTCCCACCGTCTCCTCAGTCCAGGGGGCGGGGAGGTGTGTACGCTCATCAGAGGAGGCGGGCGTCGGGGGGACCCGGATGGGCTGTGCAGTAAAGCAAAGAATAAAAAACATGCTCTGGTCTTCAATCAAACTTGCATAAAATAACGGCTGCTGCCGAACTACACCAATTAAAGCAAAGAAATGCACAAGAGGTCAAGCGGTGTCATTTAACACTTATATAGCTTAAATAAGATAGAATATAGTTATGTAAATACTGTAACCAGTGGAGGGCTCAAGCCCCGGCTACTGATACATTATACTTCACCGACTCTAAATATGAGCTACTGTTTAAATACATATATAAAATATATGTACTTATGGAATTTGTTTGAAATCGCCGACACTGAAGATGAAAATTGATATTGATGCGTTATATGTGGTCATAATAGGTAAAAGAAGGGGTGGGATTATTTCAGTATCTTGCACAGGTTGTTAACCACTTGCATGAACATTTTACCGGTAATTTGAAACCATTCAACAGTAAAAAAATTAAATTTTATCATGTCACTGACATGACTTCCATCGATGGAGCTGCTTACATCAAACTAAAATAGAAGAGAGGTGCCACTAATGAACGTGTCTGGTGTAGAGACGCGATTTACTATCATGGTGGTCAGAAATGACGTTATTCACGGTGCGACATGCCGAGGATTTGTGATGCTGGATAAAATGGCCACATAAAACTAGAGAACATCGAACGTACATTCAAAGTACCGTATTTGATCACTTGACCAGCAAGACAATGACGTAGCCCATGATTGACACTATGAAAGCTCTTACAATCGTGCTTTGTGCACTGAAAGACTATAAAATGAAACCAAATTAAACTTTCATAAGAATAAAATGATTGATGAACTAATAAGACTGAATTAGAAGAAGGATTGAAAAAGCCAAGATCTACAAGTAAAAAATCTTTAAGAGGCACCACGCGCTATACACAAAAATAAATGGAATTCACAACCAACCGGCGACGCTGTTGTCCAGGAGATGGAGGTGAACGCCTTCGTCGGAGTGGAGATGGAGACCTTTGGTCGCGTCTCGGGGACGAGGGCGGCGAACCTCGACGCTGACGAGGTGACGGCGATGACCGACGAGGGCGAGGTGAGAGTGGAGACCTGCGACGACGAGGAGATGGCGAGCGGCGCTGACGAAGATGAGGAGAAGTAGGAGATCGACGTCGACGAGGTGACAGTGGAGACTGGCGGTGACGGGGAGAAGCTGAAGAGCGGCGGTCGCGGCGGTGAGAGACTACGCCACGGGGTCCACTGGCGCCTCGCCCGCCCCGACGAGCCGCCTGAGAAATAGAATAGTAGGGAACAATTTAAAACATCTTTGAACGAAAAGACATAAATATGCTAAAACAAGGGCCATAAATATATTGAACAGAATGGCCAATAATAAATTGGAGGGTCATAAATAAATTGAAGAACAGAATGGCCATACATAAACAAGTTAAAGGGAGGGCCAAAAATAAATTGAACAGATGGCCATAAATAAGCCCAACAAAGAAGGCCATAAATAAACTGAACAGATGGCCATAAATAAGCTCAAGAGAAGACCATAAATAAATCGAACAGAAAGCCATACTGATGCTGATCTACTTTTATGCAGGTTATGCCACCAGTTTTCCGGAACCACTGAAGCAATGGAAATATTAAGAAAAATATTTAAGAAAATTTCATATGATTGAAAGAAATCAAGCAAATAATTTTGTTTGGGCATTCAATTTGAATCATGATAATTTCAAACAGTAAATTCAACTAAGAAGCAATCGTATATTATATGTAAGATTTACCATCGCATCTTCTATAAAGCGAGCTTACAAATTAAAGTATGTAATTAAAATTACATACTTTCTGCGATTACATATTTTTCTAGATACACCAAAAAACTACTATTTTTATATTCATTTCATTCGATCACCTTTTCATGTTTCTATTCCTTTCAATGCATAGAAATAACACGAGAACGGCCTTAGCTGTGTCTTTGTGACCACCAGACTTGCTTTTGCATGTGGCAGACTCTCTGAAAAACCAACACCAAAAGATATATAAGATCAAGGGGAAATGTAACAAAATAAATGATTTTGACTCCTTACTGTGTCTTCGTCGGAGCTGCTTTGGTCACGGTGAGCCCTGTACTGGCGCTTCTTGAGCACAGAGTCTTGCTTGCGTCGCAGCTCGAACTTGTCTTCATCGCCGCTGCTGCTGCTGCTGCTTGAGCTGCTGCCCGAGCTCGAGCGTGATCTGCAAACAGCCAAGTAATTATTAAGGCTGGTATATGGTATGGAACTTGTCTTCATCGCCACTGCTGCTGCTTGAGCTGCTGCCCAAGCTCGAGCGTGATCTGCAAACAGCTAAGTATTTATTAAGGCTGGTATATGGTAGCAGGAGTGCGGCGAAGTCCGGGAGCGAGGAATTCGATGTGGAACTCAACGGTGTGGAACTCTTGTTCAGTTGTTCTGCCGTCAGATCAGCAAGTTGCTACGCTCGAGCTTGTTGTCTCTATGATATATCTGAGCCAGCACCCATCTTGGTGCTACGGCCGGCTTTTAGGTTGCCGAAGAATGGCCTGCGGCTATATTTAAAAAATTCTTATGGAGCGATAAGAATTGGAAAATATGGAAAGAATCTTATGGAGCGATAATAATTGGAAAATATGGAAAGAATTCCTATGGAGCGATAAGAATTGGAAAATATGGAAAGAATGCTTTTAGAGCAATAAAAATTGGAAAATAAGGAAATAATTCAATTCTTATGGAGCGATCAGAATTGAAAAATATGGAACGAATGCATAAAGGCAAATGCATAAAACCAAAAATTTGGCAGAAAAAATTATTCCTTAACAGGTAATGGCAACAATCTATGAATCACGTCATTCTCTCATTTTAAAAAATAACACATTCCTTCTGTTTTATAACACATTCCTTTTTTTTCTTGTCTGCAATGGCACTGAATACAAATTAATCACCTAGAAGAACCTGACGATGAGCTAGAGGAGGAAGCTCGATGAGGCCGCTTCCTGGGAGGAGACTCGTGACGTCGCTCCTGCTCTCTGCGCCTGCGTGGCGACGGAGAACGCCGACGGGGCGATCCTGAGCGTCTGCGAGGCGAAGGAGAGCGCCTGCGAAGAGGTGGTGAATGTCTTCGTGCTGGCGACGAGCCTCTTCGTTGAGGAGATCCTCTTCTTATGGATGGTGAGCCTCTTCGTGGAGAAGGTGACCGCTTACGAGGGGAGGGCGATCGTTTTGACCGTCTGGGAGAAGGCGATCTTTGGCGCAGAGAAGATGACCGCTTCCGAGGTGAAGACTTGCGCGGGGAAACCGAACGTTTCCGAGGCGGAGAATAACGCTTACGGGGCGAAGGAGAACGCTTACGGGGCGAAGGAGAACGTTTACGCACCGAAGTAGAACGTTTATGCGGGGAAGGAGATCGTTTCCTTGGTGACAGAGAACGTTTCCGTGGCGATGGAGAACGTTTACGAGGCGATGGAGAACGTTTACGAGGCGAAGGAGAACGTTTACGGGGCGAAGGAGAACGTTTGCGTGGGCTGCCAGAACGTCGGCGCGGTGACGACTTTTTGCGAGGAGAGGCCGACCGTTTTGTTCGAGGACTACGCGACCGACGACGACGAGGCGATCGTGATCGACGCTGGCGGGAAGGCGACGAGCGCTTACGACCTGGCGACGAGCGGCGGGCTCTTGGTGAAGCGGTGCGGTCACCGCCGTGACGAGAAGACCGGCTGGGGGACGACCTGCAAGCACACAAGAATAGTCTCCTCAAGACGCACTAGTGTTGATATGATTTGCGAGCACGATGAAAAAAATATGATTGATTAACGAGCACGATCAAAAAAATGACTGATCAATGAGCAAAATGAATGAAAAAAAATATGATTGAATAACGAGCACGATGAAAAATATATGATTGATTAAGGAGCACGATGAAAAATATATGACTGAATAACGAGCACGATAAAAAAATGACTGATCAACGAGCAAAATGAAAACTTGTCAAATGGCATCTAAGTGAAGCCTATAAAATGACGATTCAAAGCATGAGATAATGTCATCAGCAGGTGAGGTTTGAAATACTAATCTTAAATAATTCGATCAAGCCATGAACAGCAGTTCAGGCGAGAGAACAAGAAATTATTTATTTCAGACCACATATCCATTCACTCAACTGTATATTCATTGCTAGAAAAACTAACCCGACAATGAACGCAGCTAATATACAAATAATAGCGACTTTTAGCACATGCTTACCTCCTATCTTTACGCTCGTCTCGGGATTTATTGCTTTCATCCCTGGATCTTGTGCTCGGAGTGGGAAGGGGCAGTAGAGGCGCCATGTTGGGCGTTGGTAACAAGGCTTTACCCACGTTAGCAGCGCTGCTGCCGCCGGTATTGATGGCCGCCCCAATCACGGGGGGCGTAGCTATCAGGGGTGATTTTATGGCCCCCCCTTCGAGGACTGCTGCAGACACGGCGGCAGCTGCAGCGGCCGCCGCTGCCGGGATATCAGAGTCTTTCTTGCTGTCGTCAGCGTGACCGTTAGCAACTTGCTTTGCAGGTGATTGGGTGTCAGGCTTCTCAGAAGCTTCGTCTTTGTCGCCATTATTTGACGATGATGTATCTTTGGATTTGAGATCTGTGGCGTCATCTTTGTCCTCATGTCTTGGAAGTGAACAGTAAGAGAAAATAATATAGATTGCAACAGAAATATTTCAACAAATAAGACATGAACGCCAAATATAGATAAGATTTCTGATACCAAGGCTGAAATATAGGTAAGGCACTACACTCAGTTGAACAGCGTTGCTTGGCCAATTCAATGCAAGAAGGCTTTAAATACACTCAGTCTAGTCAACATTTATTGACAAGCAATGATCAACACAACCAGTACAAATTAATCTTAAATTCAAATATCTTAAATCTACCCTGTCATATGCACAATTGTAGAATTCACTTTTGATCTCAAGTATCACCACAAAGTTGAGACATATATCAATACTTCACGTCAAGACTTGCTTCTATAAACTATACATTTTGAAGTTTTATTTTTTATATAGATATATATGTACTCACTTTGCAGGAGATTCCTCTTTGCCTTCTTCCTTCTTGCCGTCCTTTTTGCCGCTGTCTTTACGCTGGTCTTCCTTGCTGGACTTGTCCTTCCTGTGGCGGTCGTCCTTGCGATGGTCCGGGGACGAGGAGCGGTCACGACGAGACGAGCGGCCACTGCCTTTGTCGCGACTGCGGCTGCGTCTGACGAGGTAGACAATTTTAAGAAACTAAACAATAATTGCTAGGAGACTCTTGAACTAAAGATCCAATGTTGTCTTTCTGGTGATTGCATTGGGGACTCTTGAACTAAAGAGCTCTTCAACAGGATGCAAGTGCGCTGTGTGGAATGAATGAAAATGAAGGTTCGGATATCAATTCAGATGTGATAAAGATCCAATGTCGTCTTTCCGGTGATTGCATTGTCAGCCGAACGTGCCGCACTTCAATAATTTCTAGTTTATCATCAACAATTGAAAATATAAAAAGAATCAATCTATTTACAAGACCATAGAACTTGAAGACTTGCAGCCAATACTTACGGCGTGGCTGTCAGACAAGACACTCACCTGTCCCGCCTCTCCTTGTCCCTATCGCGGTCTCGCTCACGGTCGCGCTTCTCACGCTCCTTCTGCTTCTCTTCTTCTTCCTGGCACGACATCTCAGCAATTATTTAGAAACTTAAATCGATTTCAGGCTATAATAAAAAAACATCCATACGGCTTCAAATGAGAACGAAAATTCTAGCTTTTTCTTCATTCAGAATTGATATTTGATGATCCAAGTTCCAGTTTAACCTTTTAGGCTGAAGGAATTTTTTCTATGGAAATTACCTATACATACATAGCAATAAGCCAATACTTTCCAATGACTTGAATATACGCGCGCACTAGTCACCATTAATACGAGTCGCAAAACCAGCAAGCTGACACAATTCAGTATTAGCAAAATTTAAATATCAAACATTATTCAGCTCAATTCAGGGTTAATTATGAAACACGTGCATTCTTATCAACTGTCACCTTATTACTACCATGCAAAATTTTTGCACTGCTTTTTACCAAAAATTACTGACGGTATTCAATCTTTTCAATATTACCTAAGGGGTTACTGGTCATTAGGCTACCCAATATTTCCTTCAATAAAGAAACTCATCTAAATAAGTCATCTTACGCAGCAAACCAATTTTTCATTTGCGTTAATTCTTCAAACAAATAAAATTTAAAAAAATTATTATTACATTGATATTTTGAACACAGCATTGTTGATAAAAGCCTCATTTACTGACCATTTTCTTCTTAAGTTCCTCTTTCTTCTGATCAAGGAAGAGTTTAGGGATGCCAGTAGGATTGCTCTGGGCAGACACTAGCAGCTCCCACAGCGCCGACATGAAAAGCTTGGCATTCTTACCATCAAGGAAGCCTGTCATCATGATCTGCATCTTCTTGGGGTCTGGATTCTGCAAGTTACACACAGTCCGTGAATAACATTACTTAACTTCATATTAATAGTGTTAGGCATACCAATTGTCACGCTGATGCTATGCAGTAATACCGAGCCCAAGGAAGGGCTTGAACATTGTGAACTAAATACTCAGGTCCAGGATAATTGTTCTGCGCAGATCTCGCAAATGCCTCATTTTCCTGAAGAAGAAAACACGAATGAAACTTACAGCATTTCTTACTTTTATTCTGGCATTAATAAAGAAACTGAAGACAAAATAACTTTTAGAAAAATCCCATAACAATTCCATTAAATCATTACAAAACAAAACTGCAACTTTCAGTTCATTGAAATGAAGCACTTGACCCGGAAAATCATCGAAAAACTAAACTCAATCAGAATTTTCTCTATAATTGGATATCATTTAAAATTAAAATAAAGGTACCAGTATCACCAAAGGGATTGAAAGCAGAATTACCAGCCCTCTTAAAAAACTAAATTTGAACCCTAGACATTACAAAATTTAATTTTACTGTCACTCCACAGGAGCTTCGTAAATATTCATTAAATAGATCAAAGTGGATTAATCCAATAGTCTGTATTTCAAACAGAACGTTTAGAACGTTTCAAGAAGTACAAGAGCTGAACACACGGCAATAAGTTGTATAGTGGTGACGCCCGAGAGATGCTTTTGTATTACTTACACAAATGAATTCTGTTCAACTGCATTTGGATATTAAAATGTATTAAAATGTATGTGTTTTGTGTGATGAATCATGTGTCTGGAAGACTTCATCTCCGCAGGAGGTTTGCAGGCATGGAGGCAACTACGTGAGCATGTAACAGCCTCAGCTGCCAAGTCAATGGTGCAGATCTTTGTTCCAGAGCCAGTCTGGAGTGTCCGGCGTTCGAGTTGAAGGGCCGTGACGTTCATGAACTCTGAGAACCCATGACCTCTCAGGTCAGGGCTCAGAGCTTCGAAGTAACGGCATTTAGCAGCCATCAGCGTGCGGGGAATGAGGGAGGGGGCCAGGATGGTGTCAAATGTGATGCAGCAGCAGCAACAATGTTGGTGGTGTTGGTGGACATGGTATGGGTAGTGGACGGGGGAAGGTAATGTGGGATGCGCTGATGAGAAGAGGCAGATTTCATCTACCTGCTCCCAAGCATCTGGCAAATGTAGTAGTTGCAGCTGGGTACTCAGACACGAGCTGAGCCCTTCAGAAACACAGAAGTGTTCCCAAGAGGCACATCATCATAGAATGTGATGGCAGTGGTAGCCTCCCACTCATGCACTAAGCACAAGCAGAAGAGAGCCTGGTAGGAGCAGGCAGGAGGCTACACTCCTCCAGGAGGCGGTACGCACGCAGTCAGGGAGTGAGAGCCTCACAGCTTTACATGCTAGATTTTGGGAAGATTTCACATTATCAGCTCACCAAGCTCACAGAATGTGTTCCTATAGTATGAGTTTGATTAACTCAGTGGAAGACAGGATAGCAATTTTTTCAATGCTCTAAAATAATTTTGAAAAATTTAGTCCTCAGAGTAGTTTAGTGCTTTATTCATAGCCAAAAAGCTAAAATATATTTAGAATGAACCAATTTATTAAAAAATTAGTATTATACAACGAATTTCCCACAACCCTGGCAGTGAAGTAGCTACCTGCTTTGTAGCATTGTTTGCCATGCAACAACCTCTCCTGATTCACACGTAATGAGCTGAAAAGAGGTTCATATTTTACACAGGCATTCCAAAAAAGAAATACCAGCATCAGGAAATTCACACATTTAACATACCTTCTCAGATTCAAGCTGATTGAAGACAAAGTCAACAACAACATCATCATCTACACCAAGCATTTGAGTGATGCGTTCTGTCACCCATGGCTTGATGACATCAAGTTTGATCTTGCTGATGTCAACCTGAAATTATGACAATATATTATGAGCATAATATCAAAAGTAATCTCCTAATAATGGCATGCTATGAAGACAGAAGGCTGTTACTGTGATGCTAATAGTGTTATGTGTAATTCAATATAAGTATCAACCCCCGATATTAACAAAATAAAATAACTTAAAATATATTGCATATGATGAAGGAATTCAGGCTCTGATGCATTCATATTCAACAGCTATGGCTATGTGATCAGCAAGAATCACAAGTTAGTAACACAAGACAATTCATTATTCAGTTTGTGCTATGGTTATGACACTACCTATATACCGTAGAATGGGGTAACTTAGACCGGCGGGGTAACTTAGACCACTTTTCGTTTTTTTTACAAAAACCCCCACAACTCAAAAACTATTTGACATAGAAAAATTTTGTCAATGGGCATTAAAGGCCTAATACTGAGGCTACATAACATAATAGAAAGATTTAAAAAGTTTGCATATCTAATAGGTTAAAAAATTAAAAATGTGACCCACAAAAAAAGCTATTATTTAAAGCCTGTCATAGTACCCCCTCCAATTTTTTTATTTTTTGGTTAAATAACTCCAGGTTTTGATGCATTGTAGTAGAACTCTTCTAGTTACATATGCAAATGACAAATTTTAGGAAAGTGTCATATTTTGCAAATGGGGGGCACTGCCCCTAAATGGGGTAACTAAGACCACCTAATGTCAGCCCTGATGGGGTAACATAGACCGGCTTGGAAGTTAATATAAAATTACCATATATAACATATTTTATGTTTGACAGCCTATTTATGTTTTTTCTTTATGTTTCAGACTCTACAGAGTCTTATATATGGTAATTTTAACTTAATATCCAAGCCAGTCAATATTACCCCATCAGGGCTGCCATTAGGTAGTCACATTTCCCTCATTATGGGGTGGCGCCCCCCATTTGCAAACTATGACACTTTCCTCTAGATTGTCATTTGCATTTGTAACTAGAAGAGTTCTACTACAATGCACCAAAACCTGGAGTTATTTGAAGTTATTTTACCAAAAAAAAATAATTGATTTTACCACCCGGTCTAAGTTACCCCAAGAGCTAGGGTAACAAAGACCATCACTTTTTTTGAAATTACAAAAAGACTATGAGAGGCAGGAGCCAGCAATTTATGGTGAGTGAAGCTAGAGTATAGACCTGTATTTTGCATGTTTCAATTCAAGTTTAATTTAGCTAGTAAGAAAATGGCATCATTTATAAGAAAAAAAGCGGTCTAAGTTACCCCATTTTACGGTATCAAGTTCAATTTCTGGACAAACAAAAATTTTCTATTTACTCTTTCAAAATCCAAACTCAATAAGCTTCCTGATTCATGTAGAATTGTTCCAACATTTTCATAAGAGAAGGAAGGAAATAAAAATGTATTTTCAAAATTATACAAAATACAATATCAGTTCAATGGAATCTGTGTCTATTAAACTTGCAGTTTATATCTTGCATTTGATCAACTCCATTAACATTTTTATTATATTCTGATAAATACTAGACTAAGGAGCTCTAAGCAATCCAAATCTTTTAAAATTTGAGACATGAAAACTTACGATACAAATTTTAAAGAACTAATTATACATGTTAAATTTAATTACTTCCATAATGAAACAATAATGAAAATTTCCAATTTCCATAGAGCAAACCTTTTTGGCAAGACAATCAGTAAAATTTGAGATATGAAAACTTGCAATACAAATTTCAAAGAACTGATTATACATGTTAATTGCTTCCATAATGAAACAATAATGAAAATTTCCATAGAACAAACCTTTTTGGCAAGACAATCAGTAAAATTTGAGATATGAAAACATGCAATACAAATTTCAAAGAACTGATTATACATGTTAAATTTAATTGCTTTCATAATGAAACAATAATGAAAATTTCCATAGAACAAACCTTTTTGGCAAGACAATCAGAAAACTTCATCTCCCTCATGAGCTTCTTCTCCTTGTTGCTGAAGCGGTTATCCTGCTCAGCAGACGTGCCCTGCAGACAACATAGAAATATTATATTAATTATGAGCAACAATAACCCAATTTAGAATTCTATATAATCATATAATTCAATTAAATGCTTTAATAAATGAAAAATTTTAGGGCAAAATCATTAAAGTCTATACATCAATATCTTTATCATACAAAAAATGCTTTTCTTCAGATCAGGTTGATTGAAAGTTTAATTTCAAATAGAGCAGCATTTGGCTAATTATTTCATACTTGTAAAAATTGGTAGGACTGTGGCTAAGCCGCTAAAGCTAACAGCTGACCCGGTACAAGATTTCAAGATACACAGAGGTTAGGAAGAGGGCAAGAGGCTGGCTCAAAATACAGTTGTAAATGAAGTCTTATTGTTCTCAAATAGAGCTGAATAGGCTGATGATGAACAGACATGACATGGGAGCAAATTTATCAAACAAGGTTGACAGGGAACATGGAATTATTTCAAGAAATTAGGATGGTTACCTGCAGGGTTGGCATAATTAAATCAAACTGATGAAATCATGTGATTAAATCACTTGATTTTTTTATAAGAAACTGTAATTTTTTTATTTTTTCAATTTTTCCGATTTTTTTCATAGATATAAATATATTGAGTGGCAGTCTTTAATATTTATTCAGAGGTATTGTTATTCATGATTTAGTATAAATGTACTATGACCAATTGGAATATAAACCTGTTGGCTTTACTGTGTATTACGTTCCAATGAATTGGATGTGTTTGGTACAGAGGCATCAAGTGTTGCAAACTTGCAATACATTGTACATATAACATAGATAGCAGCTTAGCTAATTCTTAGAAGGCTATAAGTAGTCTTTAACTATTTCACCATTTGTTATATATTAATCACTTTATATAATTTACATGTTTTAGCAAACTTATATAAGAAGGGTTGGTTGAGATTGTATTGACCTTTTAGGGATTTAGAAAGATTTTCCACTGTAATATGAGTAATGAGTATTCTAATTAAAATATTTAATTCCAATATTTTAATACGTAAATTTATAACTAGAAACAAAACAATTACAATTATAAAACTATATGTATGTAAAATAATTAAATGCAGTGAATGTAAATAAAATGTTTGAATTGTGTACATGTTTATTTCAAAGAGAGTTAGCTATCCTCATACCATAAGTCTGGTTTCAAATTGTTTGAGGTTTGTTTGGTTGTTGTTCAGTTTATGTTTAGTATATATTAGTTAATTGATCTGAATCAAATGGGAACAGTGCAGTCAGTTACTCAGTCACTACTCACTAGGTACTAGTTGGTGCGTTTAGAGGGTAGAGTCTGGTAGATTTATAGGACATAAAACTATTAGATCTATTGATAGTGTTGTGCAGTGTGCACTGTGCTATCAACTACCTATATGTTATGTGACTCTTCAATGTTTAGAAGATCCACATTCCTGAAGTGTTGTTGTATATTGAAGACAGTTAAATGGTCAATATTTAGCTCGTTACATTGCCCCATACAAACTTTACAAAGCTAATGAATAGACTTATCAATAATTGTTTACCCTAAAGTCCCAAAGTGTTAAACACCACCTTGGCCATTCTTGAAAACAAAAACTGCCTTTTTTAGCCATCTGTATATGGTTATTGTTAGTAGGCTAATTGCAAAATAAAAAATAACATTTAAAAAAGACACAAAAGCTGAAAAAATAAAAAAATCAATTAAAGCAAAAAATCCTGCCAAAATAGAAAATAAATCATTGATTTTTTTTTATTAAAAAAAATCACCAACCCTGGTTAGGTTAGCCTAACCTGCCATTATGCTAGTCTGGAAAAGTCCTATTTTTGTCTGAAATATCGCGGCTCTAATATCATATAATTTCAGTAGGTATGAAATCTCGCGGCTCTAATATCATATAATTTCAGTAGGTATGAAATCTCGCGGCTCGAATGTCATAAATTTTTGTTTGATTAAAAAATCGCGGTTTGCACTTCGCAAACATGTCATTTCATAAAATTTTCAACTTTCACGGCTGGCAAATCCATAAAACCACGGCTTGAAAAATTCAGTCGCGGCTCGCCAAGTAGATATATTCCATACTAGCCATTATGCATTATGCTCCTATTGGTATGCAAAAATGAACTGATTTTTAAATAACCTTTTTTTTACCACTTTGCTTGTCACAGACGAATCAGCAGAGAATGCTCATAATTCTTTGCTTTTTCAATGAAAACCATATAATATTAGCTGGAAGTGTAATGTGCATGTCAGCATTTGCATGGATGATGGATCATGCATCAATTGAATGGTTCAATTGTCAAATAATTATAGCTTTAATAATTGCCTTTATTAGCTTAATTGTTGGAAAGTTGTGGCTCAGTTTTATTTAAAAACTCAATGCCAGACAACCACTGCCATTGAAATAATCAGATGATTCATTTCGGTATTATTGCAGATTAACTACATCCAAAAAAAGGGTGTTTTTTTTTTTAATTATATGTTTTTTGGGGTGTAGATTACGAATCTGAAATCCATTTTTGGCGGTCGGCATCGGAAAACCGATTTTTTTCGCGACTTACTAACATGGGGGTTACGTAACTTACGTTACCCAATACCCACTCACCTTTATTTACTAACATGGGGGTTACGTAACTTACGTTACCCACTCACCTTTATTTACTAACATGGGGGTTACGTAACTTACGTTACCCACTCACCTTTATATAAAGGGTCAGATTGTTCATCGAAATTTTACAAAAAGCTCTTAGGTTGAACTAAGTCAGCCATTCAGCCAAGTTCCTTTTTTTAGATAGCATTTTGATCTAAAAGGAACCTGGGCAAACCAACCCAACCTGCGAGTTGGCGTTAGGTTGTGATCTCTCGATGTGGCAATGTATCTCCAGATTTATGGACAAAGAAGACGAAAATGTTACCCGTTGCAGTGCAACGGGTAACATTTTCGTCTTCTTTACCCGTTGCAGTGCAACGGGTAAGTTTCATTCAAGATGTCGTGCGCTACGTGTGATCTCTCGATTTTTGGGTCGGAAAAAAATCAGTTTTCCGATGCCGACCGCCAAAAATGGATTTCAGATTCGTAATCTACACCCCAAAAAACATATAATTAAAAAAAAACACCCTTTTTTTGGATGTAGTTAATCTGCAATAATACCTTCATTTCATCATTGAATGATAGGCGCTGGCGCTGTGTAGCAATTCAAGTGCTTTTAAGATTCGAGTTAATTTACAATAAATGGCCACTAGGACTAGGCCTACCTATTTTTGCAGATCAACAGAAACCGGAATCCAAATATTAATTTAACAGAACTGCACCAAGCTATTTAGGTATTCATAGCTACTTGGGTACCTAATGGGTACTCTACGGTCTCTACCGACGTGGCGGGCATAAGGAAAACTTACACGAAAGAATCCTGCATCAGACATCTTTTCCGATGAATGCTCTCAAGTACGTCTTCCTTTCAAATTATCTCACTTATCTGGTATATTACAAAGCTACATTATTACAACTGCTGAATCAGAAAAAATTCAACACAGTAAGATCTGTTTAAAACCACGACTATAAATGTAGGTATACTATGAACTATGAATCAAACTGGTCTCGAGACTCAAGTAACCACAAACTTTGCCTCAATACTCAGGAGCCGTCAACCGCGTTTATGCTGAAAGGCGTCCTACCTTGGCTAAATTAACTTTGTCCACAGCGATGACGCACATTTTGCTCTAAAATGCATATTTTTACCCGAAAAACTTGAATTTAAGAAACGCTTGAAAACATCGATTTAAAGGTGTTGGTGATGACTGTGTACGGATGTTTGCTTCCATGAATCCTTATTGCTATTCAATCAGTAAATAACTGTAGATTTGTAGCAAGATATACTACAATTTTCTAATATACTTGGTAGCATCACAATGTACATATATGCTCATCTTGTGGCACATACCAACAAAGGAAAATAATTACTTCACATGTCATTTAGCAAACACAATCGGCTCAAGCAAAATTTTTGAGGGACATATTATTGACGTTTAAGGTGCCTTTCCACAAGGAAGTGCAACCGTTGAAACGTGGGCTACAAATTTGTGTCTTGAATCAGCCTGGATCCAACATTGAGTCTCAGAATGCAATAAAACACTAAGTCTTGGATGTAGAAGCAGCCGACAACGTTGAAGCATCGTAAAAACACCGAATCGACACTTGAGCGAACTCAAGCGCGAGCTCAAGAGGCAAACCTAAATTCACCTTCAACTTACCCAGTCATAAATCCATAAATACCAAACGGATTTCTTTCAAATTTGAGAGATAAGTAGATAATATTAGTAATTTGTGGACAGATTAATTTCAAAATTTTACATCAACTACTTTTTCATTAATACGGGAAACCTAACTTCATTTTCCACTCACCCATCCATAAATCCATAAATAATGAACGGATTTTATTCAAATTTGAAATATAAGTAGATAACATCTTTAATTTGTGGACGGAATTTTTTCAAGTTTTTACATCAATAACTTTTTCATTAATACGGAAAACCTAACTGAATTTTTAACTCCCTCAGCCATAAATCCATAAACAATGAACGGATTTCATTCAAATTTGAAATACAAGTAGATAACATCTGTAATTTTTGGCCGGAATTTTTTCAAATTTTTACATCAATTACTTTTTCTAATGCCACAAAATACTGGAACTTGACCTGACTAGTACCTAACCAGCGAGGTGAACGTGAAGTTAGGTTTTCCGTATTAATAAAAAAGTTATCGATGTAAAAATTAGAAAAAAAACTCCGTCCGCAAATTACAGATGTTATCTACTTGTATTTCAAATTTGAATAAAATCCGTTCATTGTTCATGGATTTATGGCTGGGTGAGTTGAAAATGAAGTTAGGTTTTCCGTATTAATAAAAGAGTAGTTGATGTAAAATTCTGAAATAAATTTGTCCACAAATAACTAATATTATCTACTTATCTTTCAAATTTGAAAGAAATCCGTTTGGTATTTATGAATGGGTAAGTTATAAATAAAGTCATGGTTTCCGTATTAATAAAAAAGTAGTTGATGTAAAATTCTGAAATAAATCTGTCCACAAATTACTAATATTATCTACTTATCTTTCAAATTTGAAAGAAATCCGTTCTTTATTTATGAATTTATGACTGGGTAAATTGAAAATGAAGTCACGTTTTCCGTATCAATATAGAATAGAATAGAATAGAAGTGTCGGCGCTGAAGAAATAGGCCCATGGCCTGTTGCCGATTCTTGAACTTTTCGTGACTTGATTCACAAGGGATCCGGCCTTTGGAACCCGATCTTTCCATAGCTGACGATTGNTTATATATATCGTGGTCGGCTGAATTGTCTGAAGAGACGTCGTGATCCAAGAAAATAACGAACACCACGATTGTGTCTAAACACTCACTGTTTGTCCGACTCTCTCTAACGCCGCCGCGTGACTGCCCGCGGTCGCCCGCTACCTCCTGTTAAATACTCCCCCGGTCCCGCGCATGCGTGCTAGGCGGCTCGAGCTCCACCCCTTAATTCAAACTCTGCATCTCAACCCCCAAATCCCCCTATTCTTATCTTATTTATTCCTATTTCTAATCAGTCTAACTACCTTATAGCCAATGAAGAGCACTGGGGATTTCTAGGTCCAATGACTATTCCCCTCTCATCACTGATGACAAACGTGGAGAGCATGCACCAATGGTAAGAAGAAAGAAACTGAAAATGAAAGATTAAGACAAGAATTAAATAATCATTGCTTAGTCCAGGTGTTACAAGCAGTCGGTGCATGACTTTTTCACCTTCAAACCGTCATCAAATCAAATTCTAATCTTGGAATTAACTTGATATTCCCTCCTTGAAAACTGCTAAATAAAGTGGAATAAATATGAGTGTTCCTATGGAAACTTTGTCTGAGACTGAGAGTGAGGCTGTAAGTAAAAGCCTAAAAATGACATCTGATCTCACTCCAGAAGCACTGCATAAATTTGTGAGTATTGAAAAAGTTGGTTACAATTCTTACTATGAAAATTTGGGAAGGGTTTATAAATAAAAAGGTACCTGTACATGTGAGTGTAGTGGCAACTGGCAAACAAAAAACAATTGATTTTTTAAACTCATTTTTTGTCTACTTGCCTGATCTTGTTTAAAATTTGTCTTGTCTATATGCCAAAATAGAAAATTGGCAGAAGTGGCCCATGAATTGGACAAAATCACCTACAAATCTGGCTCATTTCATCCGTTTGACCATTCCTATGGCTTTTTTAATTAATTACTCTTGTAAAAAATAGAAAAAAGCTGGTTTTTATGTGGTATTTATAAAAATTGCCCATGAAACAATTGTTGCTATTTTAGGAAATTTCAGCTGGATATTCCAAAATGGTTAATATGTGATGAAGTAATGTCTCATATTGCTTATTCTTGAGTGCATTGCAGATTTTTCCAAATTTGATGATATTGCTCCTGTGTAATTTAGAAATGTAACCAGTTTTAGTAATTTCAGTTTTTTTATCTGTGCAGTTATTGGCAATGAAAGGAAGCATCCAAATGGCACGCATCAGCATCATTCATCATCACGCCCGACTCATCGCAAAACTCAAAGCCCTGGTGAAAAAAAATGTTTCTTCGGAAGATCAAAAAAATTTGTCAGCATCTGCACTTAAAAACAAAAGAAAAGCAGTTAAATTGAAAAATGAAGTTAAAACATTAAAAGTAAGTCATTATTATATATTTTTCATTAGTACTACTCATTTTGGACAATTTATATATTGCATTTAGTACACAATATCACTTTATTTGAACATCTTGCTGCATAAGACAGATGAGAACTATTTTAATTGAAGCTTAATTTGCTAAGCATAAAATTTGTCTAATTAATCATACAAAGAAAAAATAAATGGAAAACTTTCATCTCTCTGGATAAATGCAATACATATTTTTGCCTGTACAAAACCCTTCTGAAGCAACATTCTGAATTTTCTTGAAAGCAGTAGTTAATTGAATTATTGAAGAAGAAGTTTAAGAGGCATGTCTAATTCATTTAAGATACATGTATTTTGCATAAGGGCCACAACATAAACATTTCCAGCAACTGATCTTCCTGTACTGATGCTACCATCTCAATAGTTCTCTCAAGTTAGAGATATTTCTGTGCATATTGATTTGTTTGAGCCTCAAATATAGACCATCCTACTGAAATGTGTTCTGGATGACATTGACAATAGGTATTCACTGCATCTTGAAGCTAGAATCTTTTGTTTATTGCATTACTTGTAGCCTACATTTCATTTAGACACCATCTAATACTCTATTCACTGCTGTTATTATATATAAATGATCAAAATTTGAAGCAAAATCAAATTGCTATTTCAAGTTTCAACAGCGTCTCTGAAAACTGTTAATATTACTATAACATTGATGTTTGAGAACACAAGTAACCTTCTATAAGATCTGAGATGCTGTTTAATGTGCCAACTGAAAAAATGGTGAGATAATTACAAATTTTTTATCGTATCTTGTTATGTAGTTTCTATTCTTGAAATCACTTCATTTAATTAACTATTCCTTTTTTTACCATGTTATGTTCCATGTTTTTTTTACCATGTTATGTGTCTCAAATTATGTTCCAGAATTTGAGAAATAATGATGTTGGGAAACTTGTCCTGCTAAACTCCAAAGACTTCAAAACTGCAACCAAGGAGGTATGGACATGGAGAACATCATTCATAATATCCAATCACAAGATCTTGCTGACATGGCTTGTCAAAATTTGTTGGAAATAAATTGGATGTATGCCATAGATGGGGTGACTGGGACTATCTTTAGTGCTGATACTTTTTGTTATACAAATAATGACGTAGTAAATTTATAAAATATACCTTCATTGCAGTTGTTGGTTATCTCATGGTACTTCTAGAGCCATCAACATAATTTTTGTAAGGCAAGAACTTTTTGAGTTATATGGTTTTATTTTCTAGAAATCAAAATGGTTCAAGTCACCCCATTTTACTGTACTCCTGACAGCCCTTACCTTTGCTATATAGTCTTGCAGAATAATGTTCTGTCTTGTAACCACAATTCACTTAATATTTGGAGTATTTTATTTTCCCATTTAGGTACAGAATTAATTATGCAGCAGTCATTTAGATTAATTATTTAGTGCCTTTTGCCATTCTTTTTGAAGGCTTTATCTCTCTATGTTACTGATTATTGAACTCTTTTTGCTTCATTGGGCTCTATAACTTGAGCTACATATTGTGATTGTAGTTTGATCCTCAAACTACTAGCTTGAATACTGATTTACAATATCATTATCATCCTTTAGATGATAAATAGACTAGATAAAATATTGCTCCTTTTTCCTATTGCTTTGATAGGAAAAAGTGAGCTTTATAGCGAGTTTTACTTTATAGTGAGCAAGTAGGTAATCATATACTTATTACATATCACTTGGAATATCCCCTCTGAAAGACCCCACCATTGCACCAGCTTAATTCTACATTACAATGCCTCTGCCACTTGCCATTCATCTAACCATCATTCCAAACATAGAATTACCCCCTTACCATAACCAAGAATTAAAATATTTATTCAATTAATCAGAATAACTGATAGAATTGAATCACTCAAAGAATTTTTTTTTTTGCATTATGACCATATTTTATTGCTTCTTAAACTGTGATTTTCTCCTTCAATATGCAAATTTTTTTAAATTGCATCAGAGTAAATATAGATATATCTTATAATTGTTCATACTTTCTACTACTTGTTCCAGGATTTCTGCATATATGAATTTCTACGATTCATTTAAATATTTGAATTTCTACCACTCTACTTGAATTTCAGCATATTTCTATGCTTGCCCAGAAAATGGTTAAACTGGTCTGCTTATGTTCACTCAAGTTATTGATCTGTCATGACTTCTCTTTTCGTTTTTAGCGCATTTTCTCATTTATGGAAAAAATGCACTATTGTGCTCGCCATGTCCGTCAGTCTGTCTGTCTGTCCGTCTGTCTGTCTGTCCGTCCGTCTGTCTGTCTGTCTGTCTGTCTGTCTGTCCGTCCGTCTGTCCGTCCATCTGTCTGTCCGTCTGTCCGTCCGTCTGTCCGTGACCTCAAGTTCTCGTCAACGAGAAAATGCGCTCTCTGTCACTCACTGCAGTGAGTACTGAGTTATATTTTGATGAGCATGTTTTATGTGCAGGGAGCTGGTGCCGGAGTGAGTGCCATCTGTCGTCTTGCAGAACACAAGGCCGTGGTGGAGCAGAAGCTGCTCTTCAGGAAACAATTTGGAGATTCTGTATCACAGCTACCGTTTTGTGTCAAGGTTAGCAGAACTTCCAGATATTTGGTTATGTATATAGTAGAATGTAATAATATCACTCGTTTGCTTGAATCGCAAATTCACTAAAAACTTAATAGCAAAGAAAACACCACAAATATTCATAGTATCTTTAAAGAAAACGTTTCGGAGTCCAGCTCCATCGTCAGTTCGAAAATTCAGTAAAACGTGGTAAAGGGAACAGTGAAAATTCACTGTTCAATTTAAAGATACTGTGAATTTTTGTGGTGTTTTCTTTGCTATTAAGTTTTTATAATAGAATGATCCTAAGTTTAATATAACCATCTGCTAATTTGCGTATCATGACACCTATTCCACGAGGAAACTCTATTATATTTGATATTCTTCCTTTCTATTTATTTTACTATGCAATCAAGCAATAGTTCAAGGTTGTATTAATATGTACTATGTGGAAATTATGTCAATTTGTTGAATGTTGCATTTGCATTTTCAAATAGTTTTTAATCAAATTTCTTATTCATTTACTCTTAAATTTGATTATAGCAAATAGCCTTCTCTGTTGTCATCCAATTGCAAATGAAATATTTTTTAGGCAACTTCATTTGATGAACAATTGAAACGTTCTAAAATTCTGATTGCTGGAGTTACCAAAGAATTCTGAGTTATTAGTCACCACATTTTTTTTTAATTTGTATTATTACATTAATTGTTTCTAGGTACTTGGAGCAGAGCGGCGCTCGAAGAAACTCCGACTGCTGAAGAATGACAAGAAGTCTCGCATGTTGGAGTACGAACGTCGACTTTTCAAGCTGTTTCAGGAAATAGGAGGTGAGGAGTTTGAAGCTGCCGAGCGTCTATATCTCAAAGTTGTCAAAATGAAGAAAACTCTTGAGAAGCGAAAGAAAAAGGAAAAAGCGTGGGCCTTGGCTCAAGGTCCGCTTGGAGACAGAAGAGCAGCATATGAAGAGTACCTTAAAACCCTTGATGAAGGGGAGGAAAAGCAAAGTTTTGCATCATATGTGGAAGAAATGAGCATGAAAAAGACTGAAGACTCGTCTGATACAGAGAAGACGACGCTTGAAGCTCACGAATTCTCGGATGAAGACTGCGCCTCTTCTCTTGATGATGAGGGATCGTCTGATGAAGAAGGTAATGTAGCTCCTAATGAAGAATCTGATCTCAAGCAACTAGAACTGCGGAATAAAATTTTCGAAAAACTTGATGCTAAGCTAGGAAAGTGGAACGAAGAAGACTCTTCTGATGCCGAGGATATCGATATTATGCCAGACACTACGAAATCATTATTTACTAATGATGGTAATGTCTCTAAACAACGCAAACATGTTTCTCAATCGGTGTCGTCTAAATCAAATGTTTGTGAATTCGAGTTTGCACGCTCACAAAAAAATATTGATAATCGGAAAAGGAAACGTGACAGTTCCTTGAACGATAGTGAAATAGATTTTTCATCAAATAAGAAGACTATTCTAAAATCGGATGAATTCTTTCCTAGCAGGGAAGCCTTGTTAAAACGGGATTCAGAATTGAAAATAAAAAGCGCTGACTCCAATAAATCGGCTGAACGCGACAACATTGCTAAGTCATCTGTGAACTTGTCAAATGAATACCAATTAGACTCGGGCGCTGATACTGAGAAAAGCCATCCTTCATTGTTTAGTTTATTTAAGAAGACAGGATTTACAACTAAAAGAGGCAAATTGTCTCCAGAAAAGAAAGCCAAGAAGCCAGATGCGTTAGATCTGAAAATTGTTGCATCACTGTACAACAAGAATAATAAGCCTCTTGCTAAGTCATCTTTCTTTGTTGCTAGTTTCAGTTCAGGCACTCAAAATACCAATGAAAATACCAAAGATGATGCAGCAAGAATCGATGATTCCGTTGTTCCCCATAGAGTTTTGGAGATGGAAACTGAGCTTGCTGAGATCCCTCGACCCATCGCTTATGAAAAAGCCCAGAAACTTAATAAGGAAGGTATGTTGGACGATGATGTTAGCGACGACGATCAAGATGAGCGAGCCAACTTTAACTCAATGTTCATCTTCGATAATGCGAAGAATTTTAAGCAGGCACGAGGTGAAAGTTCAAGAAATGGCTCCATGAGCGATTCCGGTAGAGGTCGCGGTGTTCGAGGTGGTCGGGGAGCTCGCCATGACGGACGGCCGCGTGCCAAGTGTGGTTCTGATGAAGATTTTGGCAGCACGACACCTGGCCGTGGTAAACACAACGGCAGATTGCCTGATGCAAAGTTGGTTGAAGGAAGAAAATTCGACGTTGGTGGCACAGGTCGAGGTGGGACACGCGGAGGCAAACGAGCCCAGAGAGGAGGAAGGAGCACAGCACCATACGCCGCTACCCGGTGAGTTACCACCTTCCAAGCGCTTATTGCTGCTTGTACTTTATTGAATTATTATCGCGTATATTTCAATCTTTAATGAATACGTGGAAGATGGAAATATGTAATTTGATCATTTATTTACTTTTCTTACTATGAGCTAATCTAAGCTATCTATTGGTACTGTTCACAAATGTGTAGTGAGAAGAAAACCATTACAGTTTTTCAATATAAACACGTTCATCAGCACAATTCTTTCTCAAAAATACTCATTAATAAGGTTCTCATTTCATTATCTGCAGTTCCAACGACGACTCTGAACTACTACATCCTTCGTGGGCTGCCAAGAAGCAGAACTCGGGAGCTATCAAGGGCTTCCAGGGCAAGAAGATCACATTTGATTGATGTCAAGAAGCAATGTGACAACGAGTGACTGTGAAATACACATGTTCGCGGTATCTTCTTTTATCATTGCTCCTCAGTTCTTATTTATCGCGTAATTTCTTTAAATTTTCAGTGATTTTGGCATCTACATCGAGCACTGTTCAACAATGTTTCGTTGTGGAGACCGCCATGACAGCTGTACTTTGGGTCGTACGAAATGGTCGACACAAATATTTATTCAAGAACCTCCGCTTACTTAGCCCGGCACCTATTTTTAGTTCCATACAGTTTTTTATCGTGAATTTGAGTACTTTGCGAAAGGTTATTGTGTATCTGGGCCTAAACTTTCAAAATAAGTTAAGATATCGTAAGTTCATCAGCCAATCATTGACGGCCTTTCAAGCGAAATCCACCAATCCTAGACAAGAAAATAGAGCGTAAGTACTTACGTTTACTTAGCGCTTTGAAAGTATGGCCCCTGATGGACATGGCGCTGTTATGAATCTTCTTGGCAAGCGGCATTGGTTGGGCCAGGTTGGCAGGTTGGTAGTTGCAAACTAGACGTTGTGGTGGCCGGGTGCCTCGTGTGTCGCCGTCCTTTCTGTATCATTGTTTTAATTATATATAGTTCGGTTCACTTCACAATGCTTTGAAAATATTGGCATTTTTTGCCACGGTTCAAAATGTCATCATCAAGTCGTTCGCTTAAAATATTAGTATCGAAATTTAAGTGAAAAAGTTCAAGTTCACAGCCTTAGTTTGAGATAGATTTACTTTAACAAATTAAATTAAGTAGTTCAATTCGACGCCTCCTCAAATAACGATAAAAATATCAATTATCTGAGTGAAATAATCGTCGCAGATCAACGTCAAACGAGGTAAGTTATTCCGTACGTTATGGCGGTTACAGTTCAGTTTGCGTCTGACGGTCTCTCCAAATATTCAAATTTCACATCATTAACTTTATCTGTAACTGAAGACGTGAGAGTAGCTCTAACTAAAGCTATCCTAGTGTCGCTAATAAGTTAGCAACGAAAAATTTTTAATGCTGAATTTATCAAACAAAATACAAGGAAATCATAAAAATCTTTGCAAAGTGGACAAGTAGAGTAATCTTACAACTTGATGCAACTTTCAACCTTGCAATGAAAGGAGTAAAAATTCCCCTGACGAGGAAGATCAATGGAAAAGTTAGGCTGAAGTAGCTTTGTCAAATTTACAGTTTTTTTATTTCGATGAATGCCCTTCATCTTCATCACTCTGCTGGCATTCTTGTATCTGGGTGTGTTTTTGACCGGTTTGATACCTCAGAATTAGTCGGATGACATTTTGTTGCGGGTCTTGAAAGACTGAAATAAATTTTAGTTGTTAGGTATCCCACCCATCCGAACGCAATTTAATGAGCGTCATCAGTTCCTCGCCTCGTCTCAGTGAGCTATAAACTAAATGAAAAAATTTAACTCGGTACTCATTGCAGTGAGTGATAGAGAGCACATTTTCTCGTCGACGAAAACGTGAAGTCACGGACGGACAGACAGACGGATGGACGGACATGGCGAGCACAATAGTGCCTTTTTTCCATAAATTAAAAAATGGGCTAAAAAACTGCGGTGCAACTCATCCATGCGATAACACTTCTTCTCGCTGCTAGTCACCGACATGTGGAACAGCCTCCCTGAAGATATTGTTGACGCTCCGAGTATGAACGCGTTCAAGAACAGACTAGGCAAGGCCATACAGCTACAGGAGCATATACAGTATGTTCAGTCTTAAAATGCCTCGTATCCTACGGAACAACTGAAATCTAGAAATCATTTTAAGCCTACCGTCCGTTGAAAAGATTTGATCAAAAGGCCGGTCTTTTAGATCTGCGAACTAGTAAAGAAAAGTACAAGAATTGGCGACAGGCATATCCAGGTCTATTCATCAATGCCGAAGATACTTTACTATACTAAAAAAATGAATCCCATTTTCCAACAAAAGATGCTCGTTTTGGTCTAGGCTTTCTTGAATATGGTATTTTTCTTCTTGGTCATATTCGCCCAGTTTGTGCACCGTATCTGGCTCATAATCGGGACTGCTCTACATGAATTATTTTATTTGTTTAAGGAAGACTTATTTATTTGTTAAGGACGTTTAAGGATTAAGGACGTATGAACGCGTTCAAGAACAGACTAGACAAGGCCATGCAAGAGCATATGTTTAGTCTTAAAATGCCTCGTACCCTACGGAACAACTGATATCTAGAATCGATTTTAGATCTACCCTCCGTTGAAAAGATCTGATCAAAAGGCCAGTCTGGTCAAGAAAAGCACAAGAATCGGTGACAGGCCTATCTCGGCCTACTCTTTAAATGCCGAAGATACTATACTATACTAAGGATGAGGGCTTTTACTGCTCTTCATTAATACGTCGAGGGCGGCATGACCCGCCGGTGAGGTGCTGGGACTGCAGGTCTTTTTCTCCGGACAAATTCCGCGATTTAGTTTTTTACGATTGCGTTGGCCGACAAAAATGTTTGATGGCAGGGGGGCGCAGCCGTAGGCCACAAATTTTACTCTTAAATAAGCCATAGAGCCAACGCCTAGCTTCACTATGCATTAACTTTACTCAGCCTCAGACCTAGAAGCCGCAGACTACGCTTGAACTCCGTAATCCAGACAAGCGACACACTGTCGAAAGATAATAGCGCCGTAGGTCTTAAGCCACTGCTTAAGCATGCTCGCTCATATGCAAGCAGTTCCCCATCCGGCTGTACCTACTCCGGCCTAACCTCTTCTGGCCTAACATATTCACGCTGTCCCAGCTCACAACCTTCTTGCAGCCAATGACTGGCTCTACCAGCGCACTTGGACCGCCTTTCTAACTTCTTGCAGCCAATGAGGTTAGGTTAGGTCCGCTCAGGTTTGTTTTGGGTGGAGAAAAGTTGCAGCTCGTATAGGTTAGGCCTGAAGAGGTTAGGCCAGAGGACGTTTGGCCAGATGCAGTATGGCCATGTTTACCTTTGGCAAGCTTAAGTTGCGGCTGTGGACATCCGGCACTATGGCTTTGAGCACTTGACTTCATAGGCCGCTATGCACTCTAGCGTTCTTACCTAGTGAAAGAAATATGAACTAAGTGTGAAGTTTAGCAAAGCTGGCCTCCGGCATGCGCCCCTGATGGCAGTACTACCTCATTAAAATTTAAAAAGTACGAACAAAAAACGAAATTAAACTTATGCACCGCAACCTACAAATCTACTAGTATATAATGAATTAGAAGCCTTTTTTGTCCGCGGACTTATCGTTTTGAAGCCATCTGGCCGCCCTGAGGGGTTGTGCTGCACTCGACGTGTTAAATGTGACCACGGCATAATAGCAACCTAACCTTATCTCAAGATGAAAAACGTGTAAGTAACAGATTGCTTCTTTTCGTTTTGAATATCCAAATCAGAAGAAAGAACACAACAAATTTGCTACTTAGAATGCCAAGAAGTGAACTCTCTTAATTGAGTGATGAGATAATTTTTAATCGACCATTTTTTTAATATGAATTTGTCGAAGCGGTGGTTCAGATTTTTTGACTGGGTATCGGCAATATATAGAAGATTAATCTCGTGTTAGGATCTTTAGCAGTCCTGCCTCAGTCAAGACACTCTACATCCAGATAAATTTTCCGCATTCGATTTTTCATGTGAAACACTAGATTTCTCATTACACAAGAATAACTAGCTATAAATCAGACAATAAGGCAAAGCCACGAGGAATAAAGAAAGTAGAATGTGTCACACTGGCACAGTAGTTAAGTACAATAAAGAGATGACTTAGAATACGGAAAATAGAATGTGTCTCACTGGCACAGTGGTTAAGTACAATAAAGAGATGACTTAGAATACGGTAAGTAGAATATGTCACACTGGCACAGTAGTTAGGCGCAACAAAGAGATGACTTAGAATACGTTATCCCCGCAACGATCACAGGCCACTGTAGCATCATTGACGTTAATCGAAACCAGCTTGCAAAATTTACAAATTTCCTCTCGCTCATTTTGCGATTTGATCTTCGCATTCGGTTTAACAGGACTGGAAGCCTTCTCAATTAATCTTTTTCCTCTCTGACCAGCCATCTTGAAATGCAAGAGCTAGATAAAAACAAGTTAAAAAACCGAAATCAAATTGAGTAAAAATTGTACAAATTGTTTGATTGTTCAAAATTGTTACAGACTTGAGAGCAAGCGGCTTTCAGAGAGCGGTGATCTCAGCGGCTTAGGTGTTCAAGGGAAGGGAATATAAAGGAAGGGAATATAAAAGTATTTGATGTAAAAATCTGAAATAAACCTGTCCGCAAACTACTTATATTATCTACTTATATTTCAAATTTGAAAGAAATCCGTTCGGTATTTATGGATTTATGACTGGGTAAGTTGAAAATGAAGTTAGGTTTGCCTCTTGAGCTCGCGCTTGAGTTCGCTAAAGTGTCGATTCGGTCCCGCCAGCTCTCATCCACCAGCCAGCTCTCATCGAATAAATCTGCGTGCAAAGCAAATGACAAAATAAATGAACATAATATACATGTAACAGTCACGATAATGATCGAGTGATAATTTCAAATTATTAAATTTGGAATACTGGAAAAGGCATGACAGCAAATGACCTAGTCGTCGCGTGAACCGAGAGAAGAAACTGACGTGCGAGACGTAGCGGCTAATGAATGGTTCCTAGAGTGTTGCCACTAGGTGCATGAAGAAAAAAAAATCAACATAAAGAGAACTCGATACTAAAGAAGAGAAACTTAATCCTGTTGCACAGGACACGTCCGTCGTGACGAGATGGACAGGCCACTCCGCTGCCATCGGCGATGATCCGCATGGTACTTTAAGTTAAACTGTTTAAGGCCTTCAACGAACAATAGGCCGCTTGCCACTCACGACCATTATTTCGCTTGCTATATAAACGATCCACATGCCTACACTTCAGCGCCGACATCACATCACTAAGAGCGTATGTAACTTAAGTTTTATTGACCATTAACGGCTTGACTAAATTATTACAAGCGCTTACCAGATTCAAATTTTGTTTGCTAAT